TTTTGGGAAAATACAAATAAAATGTTATATTAAGGATTTAGAGGAGTTAAGACTGGTATAACTAAAGAAGCTGGTCCATGTGTTGTTGAATATTACGAAGACAATTAAAATTCTTTTATAATTGTACTTTTAAATTGTAGATCAGTTGATCATAGATGGTAGGATGCCATCAAATTATTAGATTGGGCTAGATCATGAAATCAATTAGAATGATACACAATTAATTATATATTGTCTATATATTGTAATTTTGTTCAACTTTATTATCCTTTGAATCCACTTGGAGCTAATTATGTATCATGAATAATTTCTCTGTGAGTAGTCCATACTGATAAAATTGCTTCAGGTGTACCAATACCTGCTCCTCTTGGATCACCACATGGTCCAAACCAATGATTTTAAGGAGCACCTGTAGTTCTTGCTCTTATACCACTAAAAATATTATCATCTCTATTTACCTATATGTTACTCCATTTGTTGTATTTGATTAAACATATCTTAAGAAATTTACATCATTACTCACTATACCAGCTGTTAAATGATTCTCAAACTAATTTATAATTTTTAAAACATCATCTATTTAATTTGAAGAATATGTTGTAACAATCTAAAATGGTCCAAATAATTCTTTTGTCACCTATTTATTATTCAATATTTAATTTAATGGAACATAAACAGCTGTTGCCTCATATGCACCATAAACTGATGGAATTTAATGATTTTTTAATTCTTAACCTCCAAACAATATTTTAGATCCAGGAATTTCTAAAATAGATTTAATATGCTATTCTATTTTAGAATTATTCCAAGTTATAATAGGACCTAAACTTAAATCATTCAAATTTCTTGTACTAGCTAATTGCTTAATTTTATCTAAAAACTTTGCTTAAACCCAATTCTCATGAACAAATAGAATACTTTATGCTGAACATTTCTAACCTGTACTTCCATAAGCATCTTAATCAGATTACCAAGCAACATAATTTTATGTATCTACATCTGGTACATCGGGACCAAGTATTTTCCAATCAAATCCAGCATCCTCAATTCTTATCTTTCCATTCAATACTTTTGTTAAATGTTCAGCAATAGTAGATGATCCTGTAAATTATGTCATACGGAAATTCCCTTTTTTCAATATATATTCAGTTGATTTTCCATCTGCAAATAACATATCTACATCTTTTTCTGGTAAACCACAATGTAATGCCAATCTTAACATTTATTCCATCACTACATTTACTCTATTATCTCCTTTAAAGAATACTTTGTTTCCTGTTATCAATGCACCAAATATTTATAAACTTGGAATTTCTAGTGGAAAATTAAATGGAGCTATTACAGCACAAGATCCATAAGGCCATCTATATCCTGTTGATTATTATCCATCACGATCTCCTGCTACATTAAATGATCTTGTTAAAAAACGAGGTTAATCACCACTAAAATTCTAAAAAAATCTTTCTGTCACTACTACTTCCCCTGATGCTTATTAATAATGTTTTGGCACAACTCTTTATATTAATTTTACAAAAAAATCATGAACTTCTTTTTTTTTTAGTTCTGCTGCTATTTTATGACACACTTCTCCATAAACTTAATACCTTTATGGATTTTTTATTGGATTATGCAATCCACTAATTGGACAATCTTTTGCTGATTTTATATATTCTTATAGTAAGTCTTTATCTTAACTATCTGGAACTTAAATAAATGGTTCACCATTAAGTGGATCTATTATTTATTCATACTTATCAGAATTTATCCATTTTCCACTCAAAAAATTTTACACCATATATGGTTTCCTAGATGATCTAGTTTATTGTTACACTTTTTTACAATTAATATGGGTCAAGGGTAAAATATGATGGAATTGACGAAAAAGATGCAATATTCCTAAATTTTTACATATTATTTTTTTATTTTTCTATGTCATCAAAATGGAAATAAACACAGAATTCTTTTTATTATATATAATATATAATTATAATATGAAATATCCTCTTATTTTATTACAAACAAACGACTCTATTCATTTATTTATTTTTAGATAAAGCATTTAATCTATTCTATCAAAATTAAAAAATTATATTATACTTATATCCATATAAATTGAAATACTTTGGCTGTAACATTATATTGTATTTTCCGAAAATTTATATTTGGTTTTACTGATCCTATTGGACTAAAAACTGATTTATAATACACATTTTTATTCGCTGGACTTGTATTATTACTACTTTAAATTTATTGTAGCTATTATTATAATTCAGTTTTTATAGATTCTATCATTATATCAATATGGTTGGGTTATTTTTTTATACTAATCAAATTAACTCTGATTTTTGAATTCTTAAACATTCTCTTAATTTATTTTGCTCTTTAACAGTGGTTTATTCTAATTATAATTTTATAAAACTTATTTCTTATATTTTGTTCCTTCTGAATTTTTGTGTTTGACAGCCTTGTTGATTCAGATAAATTTGAATTTTTATGAAAAGAGATAATATTATACAACTATTTTATTTTTACATTCTCATCATATGCTTGATTACTTTTAATTTTATTCCATTTCTAACTTAAATTAAGTACTCTTCAGTTATTTATTATAGGCATTTAATCTTTCATTAATTCGACAAATTGTATTGTTGATGGTTTCAAATCATTCAAATCTACAAATCATAAATAATGAATTTCAACTTCAGAAATTGATTTGCTAAATTATTAGTATTATATTGAGTCTATTACTTTCTTATAGAATTTTTTATCTTAACTTTCTTTTTTTGAATAATTCTTATCAACGAAAAGAACTAAGCTTATAAGTTCTAAAAAATATCAAGGAGCATTCAAAAACTACTAATTTATATATATCAGTTTCTCTAATTTATAAATTACCCACTTTTCATGATATTTATTCAAATACTCTTTGCATTCAAAGTATTCTTTATCATAAATGTGAATGATTGATGGCTTACCTTAGTTCATGAATATCAAATAAAGATTATTAGTATAGTAGTGATTTTGGGCATAAGAATATTTATTATACAAGATGTATTAATAGCTTTAAGTATAATTTTTGATGATGAATTTGGTTTAAAAGGATTCTTATATTTTAAATTTTTTGATATATATAAATTTAAATCTAAAATTTAATTATTATGAGGCTCAATATGCTTATCCTTTTACATTTCATTTTTACTAATCTAAATTATGGATATTTTAACCATTTTAGATTCTAGTCTTAGTTATTTTTAATATAGTTAATCAGTTAAAATTTACTATTTCAATTCCTATTTGTTAAATTAAAATCTTGAAATTTGGATAAGGAGTTTTGATTTGATATTTTTTATAATCAATAACAAAAAAATATAAAATATCAATCAAAGCAAATTCCTTCTTTCTCGTTGATTTCTTATTGAATTTTACTGAAATGAATGAAAACTTATTCCAAAGAACTAAAAATAGAAAAAGAATATACTTTTCTTCAATTTAAAAATCTTCAATATGACCTTCCTATTATTGATTTTAAAAGAATTTAAAAGATTGATAAAAACTAAATCCTTCTTTTGGAATAGAATACATTAAATAACCTTCTCTTTTATCTTCTACTTATTGTGATTTAGGAAATTAAGCTTAAATATATTTAGCCACAGTTGGATTGATGTATTTAACTTAGATTTGATACCCACTTCCATATTTTCTAATAATATAATGATATAATTATACTGTCTCAAATCTTAAGGAGAACCTAAGCATTTAAATTGTCCAGCTATTAATATTCCAATTCTATCACTTAAACTTTCTGCTTCTTCAATAGTATGAGTTGTCATAATTGCTGAACAAGCTCTCAATTGAATATTTCTCTTTAATGTATTGAAGAGAAATCTTCTAGATATAGGATCAACTCCAGTACTAGGTTCATCAAAGAATGTAATATCACTACCACCAATTAAAGCATCAGCAACACATAATTTTCTTTTATTACCACCACTTAATTAACCAGCTTTAGTTTTGATAAATAAATCTAATTGCATAGTTTTTATGAAATATGAAACAGCAGTCGATAATTCTTATCCTTTTAATCCTTTGATTCTTCCAAATAATTAAAGATGTTCAACTGGTGTTAAATTTTCCCATATACAATCAAATTATGGACATACTCCAACATGTTACATTATATTCATTATCTACTATTTAGGTTCATAATTATTAAGTAAAGCTTGACCAGCTGATGGAGTATTAATTCCAGAAAATATATTTATTAGAGTTGATTTACCTGCACCATTAGGACCTATAATTCCAAGAATTTCACCTTTTTTTACACTAAATGTAAGTTATTGTAATGTTGGTTTTCCTTTTACATATTGTTTTTCTAAGAATTTAGATTTTATAGGATCATTATTATCCTCTTTAAGTACTCTATTTCTTTCATTAATAATCTCTTCTTCTAGATTCTCTTGGATTTATTACTACACTTAGTTTTGTCTCTTAAAAGATTTTTTATTTTCAAGAAATACTAAAATTCCTGTAAATACTGCTATCTATCCTACTATAATTAATAAATAAGCTTCTGTTGTTTTTAATAAATAAGGAGCTTAAAAAAATTTCTCAACTTAATTATAATTATTTGCTGTGAACAAATAGGCTTAAAAAAATGCATAAAATGGTGAAATGATCTATTTTATTAAGAATAAGTATTACCGAAAATAATATTTCAAAAATATAAATTATATTTTTAAGGAACTCAGGATAATCTAACTCTTTGTAAAAGAAAAATGAAAATGCTATCACGATATTTGGTGAACAAAAAAGAATGAAAAAACAAAATATTGTAAATAATTTTAATGCACTTTCTAATTTATTGAATACAAATCCCATAATGTAAGCAAATAAAATTTAACTAGGTCCAAATATTAAAAAGCATGAAAGTGCTCTTCCAATGTTATCAAAAACAATATTTAAGTCAAGTAATGCTGAAACTACTAAAAATAAGATTAAATTTAAAAAGAATATGATAAGGTCAAAAAGAAATGTACCTAACCAATAAGCCATATTTCTTAATCCCATTCCTTGTAATGATTATTTCAAAAAGAATTCTTTTTCTAACACTGGTTATGTAATATATATTGTAGCATTGAAACAAAAAGCAATTACACAACAAGAAGCTAAGAGATTAATTTTGAAATGATTCAATACATAATCAGGTAAAATTTTAAACATATCATCTTAAAATTTTACATTAGCAACAACAACCAGTCCATTGATAAAAGCAATCATAGGAATTATTATAGAGAAATAATTTGTAGTAGTTCTTACAACAGTATAGTATCTTCTTAAAAAGATTGCCAAAATTTAATTTATAAAGGAATATGATGGATCTTTAGATAAACATTCTGGTATTTATTTAAAATCATTTTGAATATCTTCTTTTACTACAATGGGATAAGATAAGAATTCTTAATTCTCTCTTTAATTATCCTCATCAGTAGCTGGAAATCCAAGACTTTATCTAGCAATTTAGATTTCACTTTTTCTTTATTAAGTAAGATGAGCCTCTTCCTCTTCCATACCTATTTTTACAAAAGCATCCTCAAGAGTTTTCATTGATAAACCAATTTAAACTGACATTTCTTCTAATTCCTAAAATAATTATCCTAGAGTATTTTTAGCTGTAAAAGGAATGTTGAAAACATATTAATTTTCATTTGAATGTTCTGTTTCTAAAAAACAATCTGATATATGTTTATTGACTTTTTCATAAATTTAATTTTTTAGAGATGCATCATTAAATGTAATTTTTAAATTATAACCCTCTCCAAATTTTTTTTTAATAAAATTCGCTGTTCCAACAGCCAATAATTAACCTTTAGACATAATTCCTATTCTATTAGCTAATATTTCAGCTTCATCTAAATGATGAGTAGTCAATATTATTGTTCTTTTATCTTCTCTTATTCTTTCTAAAATAGACCAAATTTATCTTCTAGAATAAGCATCCATTCCTGAGGTAGGTTCATCCAAAAATATAATTTTAGAATTTCCAACTAAACTCATTCCTAAAGATAATTTTCTTTTAGATCCTCCTGATAATACTTTTACTTAAAGAGATCTTTCATTTATTAAATCTGTCTTCCTCAATATTTCTTGAATTTCTTACTAATTTACTTTCCCCTTTATTGATCCAATATATTATAAATTCTCTTCAACAGTTAAATCTTCATATAAACAATCTTTTTAAGTACATAGACCTAAAGATTATCTTATTTAAGGTAATTAAGTATCTAAATTCATTTCATACATACTAACTAAACCTGAAGTTTTTGAAATCATTCCAGTTAACACATTAATAGCAGTTGTCTTTCCAGCACCATTATGTCCTAATAAACAAAATATTTCTGATTCATAAAGAGAAAGGGAAATGTTATCAACAGCTTTCAGTGTTCCGAATTTCTTTAACAAATTCTTAATAATTATACTTGGTGGTACTGAATACTTTATTTCTTCATGATAAATAGCAGAACTCACATCATTATCTTCAGATGTTAATTAGGCAAATAAATCATTTTCTTTTATTTATACTGTGTTCCTTCTTAGAAAGAATAAAGGTTCTTTCGATACTCCATATTCATTTGGAATTACTTATTCAAAGTATAAAAAAAACAAGAAATATACAATTGCTTATATTGCCATCTATATTCCCTCATATGTTGGAGAATATATTTCCATAATATCTTATGATGGAAATAGATTTGCTGATAAAATATCTGTGGGTATGCCAGGTTTCATTGATGCAATATAAGTAAATGCTATACTACATTATGGACTGAATATGCTCAATATAAAGTAAAATTGAAAAGACTTTGCTGCACTGTCAACAAAAGTAAAATAAATGAAAAAAACACTTGCTATTTAAAAAAAACTTTAAATTTCTCCTGCAATTTTAACTTCATTAAATAAACTTGAGAATAAATATATTTGATTCATTGACTATGATATCATATAATATTTTACTGCTATAGAAAATAGAAAATATGGCCAAGTCAATGATATAAAATTTTGATCAAATTAATCATCCCAATTTATCCCAAATATTGGAAACATCAAAAACCAAGACAATTCAAATATAATTACTGCCTAATTATAAATCTATATTTTATACTATTATGACTCTGATATATCCTGTCAAAACCCATCCAATTAAATAAGAATTTTCACTCATACCCATAATCTAATCTTAAAAATATCATTACTTTTTGCAGTTCTTTGTATCGTTTACTTTTCTCTTCTACTAACTTAATTAGAATTGATCTTTATGTTGATGCTGTTGCTAAACTATAAAGCAGTGGCATTAACTATTTCATTTCAGAAAGGTATTCTTTGATAAAATGACTACTAATACCTCTAAATGTAAGCATTAGGGAAACAATGATAGGAAGTAATGCTTCTATAAATATTTCTTTATTTCTGAAACTAATAAGTAGATTTTTCTTGATAAGACTTATTATCTATTGTTAGGAATTCATTGAGATAAAAAAATGTTCTTAATTATTTTATAATAAAATTAAATATTAATATTTCTCAACTAAATACTAATATTTTTATATAAAGTACATAAGTTTAAATTTGTTTATTATATTTGCCAATAATATTAATAAAAATAAATATGTTTTAACTTAAAGCAATAAATGATTACCTAATAATAAATCTGTTAAATAAAATCAAAATTTTTTCTTAGATTTAAAAACTAAAAAATTTGTTTCAGATGCATCATCATCAATAATATCATTTTCTGTTTAATTCAATATATTTTTCCTTTCTTCTTTCTTTGCATAAGAGATTATTTAATATTTATTTTTGCCTATCAATTTATTTTCAAAATGACTAATTTAGAGTAAGTTATCACCAAGAAAGGGTTTTGAATCAATTTCACTATTTTAAAGATAAGTGATTTCTCCTCTTGAAATTAAATCGCTTTTTTCGTTTGAAATCAAATATTCCTATTTAATTTTTTTATATGTTCGCTTCGTCGAAGCAGAAATCAATTTATTGACAAATAAATCTCGTTCAGATCTTTATTTTGTTAAATTTTGATGATGTTTTTGGGATTCTGAATGTATTCTTTCTGTACTTCTTAGAACATGTTTAATAACTCCATACTTTTAAACAGTTGTTTTAAACATAGGTTAAGGAGGTATACGTGCCCTATGAACAAAGAAGTTGTATCTAGTTTGATAATTACTGTTTATTGTTCCTTCATACTCATCATTAAACTTTCGTTTTTCCTTTTATGGAGATTTGTTGAAGGATGTCTGAGTTTCTAGTTTCTTCTAATTAGTTGTATATCTTAATGTTTTTGAATCTGTTCTATCATATTTGTTTTAAGAGCTATAGTTCATAATTAATGTATATTTGTTTTTTTTCTTTTATATGTAATTTATCAATCACATTCGGAATCATCTTCTGCTAAAAAGTCCTCTATTGAATCTTCCTCATCTTCTAAATCTTCATCATCATCTTCAATATCATTTTAAATTTCAACATCTTCTCCATTATCACTAAAATCTTCATCTTCTATACTTTCTCTTTTTTTCTTAGTTTATACAACTTTTCTTATTTTTTATTTGATTGGTTTTGGCTCTTTTGGTGGTTTAGGTTCTTTAGGTGCTTTAGGTTCTTTTGGAGCTTTAGGAGGTTTAGGTTCTTTAGGAGGTTTAGGTTCTTTAGGTGCTTTTGGTTCTTTTGGTGGTTTAGGTTCTTTTGGTGGTTTCGGTTCTTTAGGAGGTTTTGGTTCTTTGGGTGCTTTAGGTTCTTTAGGAGCTCTTTTTGGTTTAGTTTCTGGTTCTCCTTAAGTAGGATTAGGATTATTAGGATCAGCATTCGCTTCTTATTCTGCCTTTTTTGCAGCTAATTCAGCTTGCTTTTCAGCTTTCAATCTTTATCTTTCAGCTCTATCAATTTCCTCTTGTTATTATTCAAGAATTCTATCATTCATGAATTTAAAATCCTTCCAAAGTGATTGAAAATTTTCATCAAATTATTGTACAAGCTTTTTACTTTTTATTAAAAGTAAGTTTTCTTTGTTCGTTGTAACTGCAGACTTTGTCCAGTTAAAGGAACCAGTAGCCATATATTCTGTATCAATCACTAAATACTTATGATGCATTAAACTAACTGTTGAATTGTCTAGTTTGATTTCAGCCTGTGAAAAAAATAACGCTTATTTTTTACCTAACCTTTTCCTTCTTCTAATATTTGATCCAAAATAGCCTTTTATGAAGGTATCTTTGTCTAAGCATCATCTGTAATGACTTATATTTTTAAATTAGGATTCTCCTTCATCATTTACAACATTTTACCAACAATGTTTTTATTGGTGAATGTGTATACACAGATACGGATATATTGTTTTGCTTGGGAGAGAAATTGTATGAGTTTTTATTCATTCTCTTTTGATGGAAAGAATAAAGGCTCAATCGTTACTTATTCAGATCTTTCTTCTTCCATAAATAATATTAAAATTATTCAAAGAGTGTTAATTAATTATAGTAATTTTTATTTCCATTATTATTTTTCTTCCTCACTCACTTTTGCCAATGACATTTCGAAACATTCAAATTACAATTTGATATGTTATTCATTTTCGAATTAGCTAGTATCAAGGTCATCATTGTTGAATATTTACTAATTGGGATTTTAATTTATATTTAAATCTTCCAAAGAATAAAAATGATCACCAATGGAATGAGTCGATGCTTATTTGACTTAACTTTATATTTCTATTTGGTCCATTTTATTTTGATGTATCTTCATTTTAATTAATATAAAAAATACTTCAATTGCAAATTATTCATGAAAATTTAAAAATTACTTTAAATTCTCTTCAAACTCTTATAATATTTTCACAAGATCTTGCAAATAAGTTACTTGATCATTTTATTTTAAAGTTAATTGAATTTTCTTTAAAATTTAAATAAGTGTCTGTCCTAGTTCTTAAAACTAAAATTAATGAAGCAATATACTCCATCACATTAACAACGAGGACTTAAAGTAGATGATAAAAAACCACCAACTGAAGATACATTTGTATATTTATTACCAAATGAATCTCGGTCTAAAATAATTTAAATTGTAATTTACTGGAATTGCAGTCTTTTATTTTTTAATGTGATTCAATTTTGTCAATTTTTTAAAGTTCTTCCACATTAACTTGAATTACTTAGAGCTAAAAATTTATTTAAGAAAGTTAAAGTTCTAATTTTAGATGCATAATTTCAATACTCAAAGTATTTTGATCTCTTTCACATTGTCTTAGATTTTCTAAGGTTTAATCTAATAATTGTTTGTATTATTGGATTTCCATCTCTAGAGATTTATTACTTTGTTTAAGTTTCTAAATTTTAGAAAACGAATTACTTGATTATCAGATTAAAGGTTTGTTATTATTTATGTATTAAATAATTATTTAGATCAACTATTGATGGATTGAATTGAATGAATAATCTCAACATCATCATCATCTGGCATTGTTGTATTAATTTTAATTCTTATATGTTTTACTCTTGAATAAAATTTATAAATATATATATAATGATAAGCAATTTTAGTAAATCAATTATTATGATAAACTAGAGACTAAATGATGTTAGAATTCGAATGAAAATATATAAAAGATTTTTTGTTTTATTTATCAAAAAAAAATCCCCACATGAACAAATAAAACGATGATTATCTTCCTTCGTTGCTAAAGGAATTTTAGGGAACCGAAAATGCAGAGGGACAGTCATCTGAATAACAGAAAGTTAAGTAAAAGTTATTATTTAATGCAAAGATTGGGGAATTTAGGCCTGATGACTCCAATGAGTAATACTTTAACAACCGACTTTGAATAAATGACATTAGACACATCACCTAAAGAAAGCTTGATTATTCAAAATAATTTACTCAATATTGACTCTATTGATGAATAAGAAGAGGCTATATATAAATTATAAGTACAAGGAACGCTTAATGTTTAGAAACATTAAAGTTTTAAGGTACCTAAAGAATAAAAGAGAAAATCTCCAAAACATAAAACATGTCAACCTTAATTGACTGAGCCTCTTAAATAAGAAATAGATGAAAATCAAGATGCTATCTTAGAGATGCACTCCCCTAGCTCTAATGATACTCCTTAACTCAATGCTTAAACTTTACAATTAATTAAAGAAGTCTGGAATTCTGAAAAGAATGAAACTGAATATTTTCAGGACATTATAGATGGTCATTCAATTCCTTAAGGATTGTAATATGAATTTAATTACCTTAATTAACCAATTTACTCTCCACTTCTTGAATCTCAAAGTCCCTAAGTATAATTTGAACCAGATATAGAAATGGATCTTTATATAACCTCTTTAGTAGTAATAAATATAGTATAAATATATAGGATTAACTTTGGGGAAATCAGATTGTAAGTCGAAAATTGCAAAAAATGTTGGAGTCAGGTACATTAGAATAAAAAGAGTTGATATCTTAGAAACTCGAAAGAATAAGTCCACAAATAGAAAAAGATGTATTTGGAAATTATGTAGTTTAAAAAATATTTGAATGCAGTATTATTAATATCAATTTATAGCTAATCAGAAATTACAATTAAGAATGTTCAATAAATTAAAATCACATTTTTATGATTTATCTAAAAATAATTTTGGATGCAGAGTGATGTAGAAATTGATTGAATACACCTACAATCGTGAAGATTTGTAGTTGATTGTACTATAACAATTATAATCTAATATGAGATCTTTAATCTATGATCTCAATGGAAATTATGTCATTTTTAAGATGCTTGAAACTTATGACAAATTAAAAATGGAGTTTCTAATTCCCATCGTAGAAGAATCTGTATAAATATTTAATAATTCTATTTTAGTTTAATTATATGGGCTAATAAATATATGGCTGCAAAATCATTCATAAAATAATATAATAATACTCTCCATAACAAATAAGTAGAATAATTAGATTATCTGTGTAGAATTATAGTGTTCTAAGTCAAACTGAATATGGAAATTATGTCTTATAACATATTTTATAATATTGGAAGCCTAGTTAAGAAAAAGGATATTTGGTTCAATTAGTTATATAATAATTTTACTAGCTTAGCATCAATAAATATGCAAGGTACAATATTCTATAATTCAAAGTAATACTGTTGAACGAGCCTTGGAAGTTTTAGGTAAACAAGAATTATTGGCAATAATGAAATGGCTTCTATGTCTTAGTCCAAATTAATAGTAAATAATATTATTATCTTTTTTAGTTCAAGTAATTTCGTTGTATTAGCTAATCACTAATATGCAAACTATGTTATAAAAAAATTTCTAGTTTTAAGTGACCATAGTGTACAAAGATATATATCAGATCATTTATCTTAAAATTAATTAGAATTAACAGCCATCAAATCGACTGTGCATGGTAACAAATTTAATATATAATAATTAGGCTAAAGAATTTATAGCCTTTTGGAAAAACAAATCCAGCACTGAGCTTTATGACAAATATCTAATTTCGATGAATAAATATTAAGAATATATATCATGATAACAATTAACTCTATTTTCTTATATTTTCTTCACGAACTTAAATCTCATCTAATGGGTTATGCAACCTATTATTTTCTTCAATCTAATTCACTATTTTACAACTGGCTATATATGTATATTCAGAATTAAAAGCAATGAGTTTTTATCTAAATTATTCTCTTGGCAATATTGATAATGTTTCTAATATAGAATCTCTGTACTATCCAAAATCAATAGAAAGGTCATCATTCTCTAGAGCAGAAATATCCTTAGTAACTTGAATTATTTTGTGGATTTCAAGAAAACTTTAAAAATTTTTGCTTTGCTTCATAATTTATTTTGATTATGTGAATTCATAACAATTAAACTCAATTTTTTCCATAAATTATCTAGTGCAATATTCAATACTATTATCTTGGTTATTCATTTTACATTTAATTTCTGTGTTTTTAGTATATGAAAATATTAGTTTATTACTACAATTATAATCATTCTTACATCGCATAAAACTCATTTTAATTTACAGCTCTATAAATGCTTACTTGTTTTTAAGTGATTGTAAATACAAGGTCATCTTCAAAATCAAATTTACAATCAGAGTACTAAATAAATTTTTCCATCTCTTATCTAATTAAAATAGTTCTTAGATACTTCCTTCTTAACATAAAGCTGCTCCTTAAGAATTAATTTTTATCTTTATTTGTTTATAAGTTCCATTTTTAGTTACCTTTAATATTTGAAATTCCTTATCATATTTTGTAAATAAATAATTCTCTATCTGATTGAAATGAGAATCCTAAATATTTTAACTTAATTAGCTAAGCATATAATCAAGATAAAAAGAAAATTTGAATGACTTTGTAAAAAATAAAATCTTAAATGGTTGTTCCTATTTACGTAACTTACGTTTTATGCTTATTCCTCCTAATGATGGTTCATTTTTTTTGTGTGTTATTATATAAATTTAATATTCAAGCTTTCCTAAATTAATTTTACAATTTTACCATTCAAATTCAACTCTTTGATTAATTCATTGATAATTTAGCTAATTGTGGTTCCTCTGTTATACCTTATTTTAACATAATGCTTCATATCTGTTTTAAAGTAAACTTTAACAGAATCATTCTCTTGTTATTGTTGTGACAACTTTCGAAAAGAATTTGTAAATAAACTCATTTAATAATAAACTCATTTTCTTATATATGGATGATTGTATGCTTAATGAATGTCAAATCTATCTCTTTAGTTATAGCTTAAGCATCCTTTGATAAATTCCTTGCAATCATTTGTCAAAGCTGGTTTGTTTGGAAACTTTAGACCCTCATAATTTGAATTTATCTACTATTTTATTATACATACTTTTTATTTCATTATTATTTCTTAATTTTCAACATCACCAAATGGCTTTATTCCATATAACATTTCAAAAAAGATAACACCAATTGACCAAATATCAATCTTGCTTGAAATCAATAAAGCATTATTTCCTTGAAGAAAACATTCTGGTGGTGAATACCAATAAGTTCCAATTGCCTAAGTTTTATATTCCAATTAAGAATCTTCTTTTTCTAACTCTTTGCATTATCCAAAATCACAAAGTTTCACATCATTCTAATTTAATAAGATATTTTAAGGTTTTATATCATAATGGATAATTTTATTCATATGAATATATTTTACTGCTTCAAGCAACTATTAAATAATTAATTTTGCTTCTCTCTCTTATATACTACAATATTTCTTCATGAAAAATGATAAATCTGATCCATTACAATATTCTAATATTGTGCAAAATGTGTTAGAATCAATCTCAACAGAATCAAGTAATTTTAAAATATTTGGATGTTATAATTATTTATGCACCTTAAACTCTTTAGTTACTAAATTAACATAATATGATTTTGAATTAATGGTCCAATTTTAATTTACTTAATATATTTTACAGGCTACATTTTTCATTTCTTTTAAATCATAACCCTAACAATTTACTATCAAATTAAATACCTTGTAAATTTCACTAAAATCTCCCTTGCCTAAAAGTGACAATAAAACATATCTCTCTCCTATTACAGGATATTAATCTGACCTTTTGAATAAAGCATGCTATTCATCATAATCTAATTTCAACTCTTTAAGGAATAATAGTTTTTCATTCTCCAACATATTTAATTATTTCTATAGGCATTCCTTTTCTCTTTAGAGAATTAAATAATTTAATGTTTCTCTTTATGTCGTAATCTTCAATTACTTGCTTTAATCATCATATTCATTTAATTATTATTCAAGATTTTTTATTTTCTGTTTAAGATCAATACTTTCCCTACTATCTACCCATACTGATTTTATTTTTGTTTTTTCTCTAACATATTAATATTATCCAAATTTTTTTCTATAATTTTCAATCGACAATTTCCTTTCAATCCTTTGATGTTAATCTAATTCAATTGCAAATGCTTTAATTACAGCATCATATTTAAATGATGAAGTTTTAAAATTCTATTTGATATATTTTTTATACTTAAATTTATAATGTTAAGTTTTAAATCTGTTACTCTAATTACTTGACATGTGAATCCTTTATAGCTAATTCATTTAAGCTTTTTTTAAGTGAATCAATCACATTAGGATCAATAATTTCTCCTATTACAGAGTCTTTTTTATATTAATTATTTTGTTATTTATTTTAAACATTTTTAGTAAACTAAGTAATTTGTAATTATTTTTGAAGTGTCTAATCACACACAGATTTTTTTGACTATTTACCTAAAAAACAGATAATAAAATTGCTACCTTAAATTTCAAATGAAGAAATGCTTTCTTTTTAGAATTATTGAAGAATTTCAATTTTAGGTTTCTTAAGAATACGAGCTTCTAAATCAGCTAATCTTTCTTAACAATTTTTTGGGAATTGATTTATATTCATGAACAGAATTAATGATGCTATATAAATTTGATTAATAGTTTGTTTAAGTGTTATAAAAATTTAAAGGATAAAATAATTTTGGGTAGGTTAATTATGAATTATTTTAACACTGATTAATTAAAGTTCATTATTAATCAATAAAATTATATATAATTAATAATCCTATTGGATTTATTAAATATATTGAACTTTTATTTATTTAATAAAATAATATGCAACTAGTCCAATGTAATGTTTGTGTGGCATCCTTCGATTTAAGTTAAGAAGCAATTAAAGTTTAAATTAATGAAAGATAAGGTGATAGTAAATAAGCAAATGTGAAATTATTAATCAATTTAAGAGATGATTGTTTAATCACTCACTTAATTTTGAAATGGAGTGATACTTAAATTAAAGGATTTGTATTTACATCCTTAGAAAGTTTAGATTGTTTTGATTAAACTTATAATCGTCTGATTAATAGTAAAGAAGTTGTGAATGCTGAATAATGCAGTGGTCAATACAAAATCGTTGGTCTTGGATTTGGCCGAAAACTTAGACTTACTTTTAGTGTTTGTGAGCCTCCATAATAATTAGAAAATAAGCTCAAAGCTAAATTATCAATATAAGTTTATGGATATCAATTATATCAATCTCCTGCTGCAAATTAAATGGTTGCTCTTTTAAATATTAGTCACATCTTTAAAAAAAATAATAGAGAAATTAATTAAGCTGAAGCAGATATTCTTTTAGGTTTATCTCTTCTTTCTTCAAGAAGATTTGTTTAAGCTGCAGAAATATTCAAGAAAGTAGCCAATTTTTATGCTGAAAAAGCTCAAATTTTGGTTAAACAAAAGGATTACTACTTTTTAAGGGCAAGTGGACTTTAAATACTAATAGCTGATTCTATTAATTAACCTTCTATGCTAAATGAAAAACTATAAGCATTAAAATAAGCTGTTTAGTATGTTAATATTTAATATGATAAAACATAATTACTTTTTACATCATAAAATACTGATTCTTATGAATGCATTCTTAGACTTTCAGATGATTTAATTAAAATCATAAGTAGAGTACTACTTTTAGAAGATAATTAAAATTTTGACGCTTTAAGGATGGCAAATATGAGATGTTTAGAGTTTATAATAGAATAAATTGGTTGTGGATTAGGTGGATAAATTATTTAGATATTTAAGTTATTTTTGAAGATGTTAAATTAATAATAAGGATAATTAATAGTAGAAATGATTTATAAAATAGTAAATATGATATTATAGGAACTAAGCTAAGCTACTTTAAAACTTATTTAGGATATATGGAATCAAACTATTATTTAAGGATTGTTTGATGTCAATATTGAAGGATAAAAGTTAATTATGAAAATTTGCGAATATTTATTATAAGCTGATTAAGCTCACTTTAGAATTGATATTTTATTCTTGAAATAGTTAAATTAGGTTGAAGAATCTAAGATTTGGAATCTAGTATTACAGAATATAATACCTAAATAAAATGAAAAAAAAATCAGTAAAATTATCGCTTGGGTTAATTAACAATTAATAGAATCTTTAAATTTTACAAATTACCATAATTTATCATAATCTTAATAGTATTAAATAATTAAACTATTATAACTTATATATATAATTGTCAGATATTAAAAAGAAGAATCTTAAATTCCTTTTTTTGAGGAATTTCTTAATAAACAATTAACAAACACTATTAAAATCAAATAACTTTATACTACAGCCAATTATAACTTAATAACTTTAAAACCTATTCTAATTAAATTATTAGACTAAACAGTAAAAGGTAAGATTTAATTTGATTGTTTTGAACTTGTTTGGAATATCTTAATAGAAATTTTAATTGATTGGAATGAATTTGACTAAATGTATGAACTCATTAATCCATTTCTATAAAATATATTTCTTATATGTTAAACTACATCTCCTGGTTAAGATATTCTAGTTGTTTTGGATAAAATACTTAAAACTATTTAATTTTAATGTCCTTAACTAATATCTAGATTTGAATCATAAATTTACTCATATGTTGAAATTTTTTGCTAAAGAGTTCCTCACAGTATTCATGATGAAACTTTTAAAATATTTGATATCTTAATTGCTTTCAGTTAAGAATTTTTAGATTAGCCATTAATTGAGAAATGTGTTATGGCATTAATTGATTAATATACTGTAAAAGGTCAAGCTTAAAAATAATCAAAATAGAATTTTATTAAGATGATTGTTTAATATTAAACTCATTTTAATTCTTTGATATAAGTTTGTCTAATCTAAAATCAAGAACCATTAATTCAATCAAACTTAATTTTAGAAAATAAAAAGGACTATGGATTAGTAGATAGAGAAAAAGATAAAAAAGAATTCAAATCTGATAATAAGTAATTAACGTAAGAATATGAAATTTTTAATGAAAAAGTACAATTTATTTGTGAATTATTTTCAGAAATGGGATAACAATTTAAAGTAGTGGCATAATTGATTTAAAATAGTCCTGAATTTATCTAATCTTTAATAAATTTAATTAAATCTCTTAATTCAAAAATCAGATAAAAAGGACATTTAACACTTTAGCTTCTTGTGGAATGTTATTTAAATATTGAAACAAGTACAAGGATCAAATTTTTTGAGGATAGAATTATATTTGTTAAATTCATTAAAGATATATTAACCAATTCTTTATAGGATAAGAGTGATTCCAAATGCATTTTGAATTCATTGCTGATTTTAAATAACATTTTCAATCTGAAATTTTAAAAGAGCGAATATTCTAAAGTTTTGGATGAAGTTTCAAATTTATGGAATGACTTATCAGATTTAATAGATACTCCATTCAATAGTATTTATGTTTTATTTTTTGATCTTTTGAATCAATGGGGATAATTGTTAAATAAAATGCCTAATTCAACAAAACTTGATGATTTTATAGAAAAAATCTTTTTATGGACCTAAGAAAAATTAGATTGTTAAGAACCATGGCATTAGTATAATATCTTAAAATTTTGTGGTTACATTTTTGGATTAGACTCTGGTAAGAATTTTAGAGTTTTTCCTTCTATAAATTCTTCTTTTTTTGAATAAGCAAGCAAATTGTAGAATAGTTAGAATAAACAATTATAATTAATGTCAATTGTAATGATTTAATTGTGTACTCCTGAACAAATAGCAATAAGGATAATTTAATAAATGGCTGAGTAATACAATTAACTAAGACATCGATAAAATAAATAAAGAGATTAAATTAATAGATAATCTGAGAATATAATTTAATAATTATTTTAGAGATAGAATTCTATGAAAGATTTAATGATGTAATCAGATACTTTTGGATCCACATCTATGGATGAATTTGAGTTAAATTAAGAAGACTTTTTATGGATTCGTAAAGTTGATTAAGAAACATTATCTTAATGTTTATAAACTTTGTTTATGTATTAGGTTTAATAGGAAAGTAAAATTAAATAATCTGATATATTAGACAAAGAGATTAGCATGAAATAAAGTAATAATTTAAATTAAAATACTAATAAGAATATTTTAGATGATGATCCTATTGATTTAGATGATTTGGGAATTATTGAAGTTGATGATGAGGAATGGAATGAGTATGATGATTTGAGGAAAATTCCAATTTTAAAAGAAAGAATTAAAACAATTTCACCTCACATTGGAAGTAGAACACCAAATGTAGGAATAGGAAAATAAAATTAAGAAAGAAGGTCTAGTGGGAATAGATAAATCTTTGATTAAAGAAAAGGAGAAGTAGAAGATTAGGTTTTAAAAACATTAAGACCTCATAATTAAGTATTTAGACCTTTGACACCTCCTATTGGATAGTAGCCATAATCAAATTTTTAAGGGACTACAGAGATTTAAAGAGATATGTAACTATTTTCTGATTATATGTTGCAAAATCCATAATAATTTTAAAAAATTATGGAAGAAATTAAAATAAATAATAATTCTAATTCACAATCTTAATTGTAACAACAGCCTATAATTAATAATGAATAATAGGATTAATAGTTTGAAAATTTAAGAAGAAGAGTTGATGAATTAGAGTTCGATCCTCAATTTTCAAATTCAAGTTAAGATGACATTGCAGACGAACCTTAACTCAAATCTAATTAATAGTAAAAATATTAAATAATTATTAGGCATTAATAAAAAAAGAAGAAATCTAAAAAATAGCCTTCTGTAAAGAAACTTAAATCACCTATTCATCAATCTTTATATTAATCTTAAAAACAATCAACCACTCAATTAAATGGAAAAAGTGATGAAAAGAATAAAAAAAAGGGGAAAACTAAATAATTTTGAAATTATATTAATAACTTCAATTTACTAAATTTCTTGTCAAAATTAGTATATTTATAAAATAATAAATTTCTACTAATTTAAATTATTCTTTAATTTATATAATCACTATATAATTGCCTTATTTCATAATTTTTCTGAATGCTTAATTAACTCAACAATCTATTTGAATTCACTATTTTGGTTTTAAAGTAAATTTTCAGGAGTATCAAATTCAATAATATTTCCATCATCAAGAACCATAATTCTGTCAGATTACATAATAGTGGTTACTTTATGAGCAATTGTTATAATTGTGCATTAGGATAGATATTATTCAAATATCTAATTTAAATAATTAGATTTACATTCTTAATTTTTTCTTCAGTTGGACCATCAATACTTGCTGTAGCTTCATCTACCAAAATAATTTTTTAATTATCTAATAAACATCTTGCAATGTTTAATAACTATTTCTCTCCTTAACTTAAATTGATTCCTTGAACTTATATTTCACTATTTAAATCTTAAGAAATAGTAAAAATAATACACTGTTATTTAAATGATTCAAGTTCAAATAATTAGCAGATCTCGCATACTTAAATAATGGCATTATCATCATATTTATTTTCTGGATCTAAATTATTTCTAAGAGATCCCATAAAAACAAGTGGATCTTAAGGAATAATAGAAAATAATTTTCTGAGTTCTGAAATTTTATAAGCATTCATATTCTTTCCTTAAATTGTAATTGATCCATCTGTTTAATCTAAAATTTAGGTCAAAGCCAAAATTATAGAACTTTTACCTGCACCAGTTCTACCCACTATACCAATCTAAAATAATATTTATAAATAATACTTTTTCTGCAAATTTAATTGAAAAAGTCATATTTGATAAAATACATTTAGAATTAGATCTATATTAAAATGAACATTTATCAAACTCAATTACATTTATTTTAGTCTGTTATTATTAATTTTCATTTTCTTCAGATGGAGTAATAAAACTAGTGTTCCTTTCTTCCATTTCTATATTACTAAATTATATATTGATATTTTACTTTGCTAAATGCAGACATCTTTCAAATGAAACCCCATAGATTTGTAAATTTCCATAAGAAACTGTTGCATTTAATAAAAGTTATGAAACAACTTGCATTTGAGACAAAACCATATTTGTCATTTTTTATGTTTTACCAGGGTATAAAAACTATACATATAATAGATAGGCTTACACAAATAATAAATAAGATTGTTTAAAACACATTTGTTAATGTTCCAGCAATTGATTAATACCAATACTAGAATCCATTTAAGCAAATTTGATTACCCAGATCAATATCGACATTTTCTTATTGTTAGCCTATTATTTTCTCATAAGGTACACTTGTTCTTACATATGAGCTACCCCTAACAATTTGTTAGAATAAACTAAAAACAGGTGATTTCGATACAGATTCTATTCTTGTTACTTCTCTTAAACATCGATAATATATTATGGTTAAGTAAATGATGAATATGAAGAATACTATTAAAATTGGGAGAGCAATAAAATTTAAATATAAGTAACAAGCAATTAACGGTAATAAAAGAGTTGTTAACCAACTTGTAAGATTATAAACTTCATTAGGAAATAATAAATCTATATTATAAATATCTTTGCTTAAACGATTCATTAGTCTTCCAATTAGAATTGTATTGTAGAATTTAGTGTATGAAGCATTTACTAAACTATTTATAACTTATTCATGCAACTATTTTGAAGTTCTTATCCCTCTTTATAAAAAGTAAAGTTTTAATAGTACAACAGCAGTACAAGTAGGAAATTAAATTATTAAATATGCAACCAATGCTATTGATCGAAATTCATCATCACTTACTCCATCCATGGCTAATTTAGAATTACCAAACATTTATCCAGCAACAGTTATTAAAAAATAGGCTAATATTATAAAGAACAGCCAATATTTCCCCAAATAGGTATATATTTATTTAAATACGGCTTTTGAAATCGAACCTTATTATTAATCTTCTTGGACTATCAAACTGGCTCTTAAGTCTTATTTTTGGTTAATTTCATTAGGATAATGAAATTCTTCAAATTTAATATCCATATATTCTTTTTACTCATCTGACTATTATTATTCCAGATCATATTTTATTTATGCAAATGTTCCTGACTTGACTATTTATCCATTTTCTAAAATGTATATCATATCGCATTCCTAAAGATTAGAAGTTGAGTTTGTAAATAAAATTCTTGTTTTATTTTTTAAGTATCCATTAAAACATTATTAATGTATTTAATATTTTACTTTGATATCTAAAGAACTCAAAGGATCATCTAATAAATAAATATCTGCATCATTATATATGGCTCTAGCTAAATTAATTCTTTTCTATTGACCTCCAGATAAATTGTCTCCTTTCTCTCCTAAAATTGTTTCATCTCCATTTTTAAATGATTTTAAATCTCTTTCTAATCCACAAATTTAAATCACTTTTTTATATTTAATGCTATCAAATTGATTTAAAAAAGTTATATTTTATCTTATACTTCCACTAATTATCCATGGTTCTTGCATTGCAACTGAAATTGATCCATTGATATTTATTTAACCACCTGTATGATTAGTTTCTCCTAAAATAGATCTTAGAATAGTTGATTTTCCTGAAGCAGACCTAATCAATCTTATAAATTTCATACCCTCCAACAAATGCTATAAATTTGCCTTTTTTAATTGACAAATTTATATTAATCCCAAAAACATCTCTATTCTCTTCTTTATTCAAATCTTCTTTATCAACAATAAATTTATCATTATTTTACCAATCAAATTGAGCATTTTCAAATTCTATTAAATTTTCATTACAAATATTTTATGTTTTTGAGTTTACCAAAATTTCATTTTACTGAAAATAATTTTACAATCTATTTATTGAATTTCTTGAAGTCTAAAAGTTTCTCAATTAATTTGGTAACTCAGTTAATAACATTGCAATATTTTAATAATTTTGCATCATTATTGTTACGATCCCAAAATTTAACTGTTCTGCAAATAAAAACCAAAACTCATATGTTGCAACACTTATGGAACATTACATAAAAAGCATCAATATTTATAAGTAGACTTAATACTTTAAATAAGTCAATTCTTAATCCCTATGAGTTTTTATCTATAATATTATAATAATATTACTCTCCTTTCAAAATATTCTTCAAGGCAATTTAATTTTAATTATTTTGAAAATATCAAAGCTTCATCTACAGATTTCATTCTTAGATCTTTGCAATTCATATATTTTTTTTGAACTACTCCATAATAATATCCGAAAATCACCCCAAAAACAGTTTAAATCACTGTACCTATCACTGGAACCAATGCTTATTTTCCTAATGTCAAATAAAATATTGCCACAGTTGCAATTAAAAATATGGGTGACAAAAACAATTAAAAACAAGATGAATAATAATTCGATGCTTACATAATATCAACCTATAAAAGATTTATAAGCTCTCCACTAGAGTAATGTTGTGATCTTATTACTGGAAACTTTAAAGTCTTTATTAGAATTTATTATTATAATGCTCCTTATATCTTTACGCTTAATAAAGACTAATAATTATTTAATGTGTATGTACTTGTTGAAAAAGCTAAAAAGGCTTTAACAAAGATATACCAAGCATATAAAGAAAGAACAATAATGAAAATATAATCATGCTTGATATTTTAGGTTTTTCATCTTCTATTTCATAAATAAAGAATTTTTATGACTATTCAGTTATAAATGGTTAACAAAGAAAGAGTGAAATACTTATAAAATAAAATACTAAGCATACGGATATTTAACCTTTAAAAATGTGATAATAAATTACCAACAAAGGCAAAAAATAATGATTTTTGTAAACCATTAAATGTTAGAAAGTATTTAGAAAAAAATTTTTGAAATCTCTTATATGAGATTATTGATGAATCGTTTTAGTTGATCTTAAACAAATCTTACTAACACAACGGTTAATTTTTTCCAATCTAATGTTGTAATAATAATTTTACAAATAATAATGGATACACCCATGTGAAAAACAATTATGAGCACCAACTTTATTGTTTCATAGGAGTTGAAGTCTTTTCAAGCAATCCTGTATTTGTTGGGTATATTGATGACATGAAAAAAATAAAAAATATTAAAGAATATAGAATCCACATAATATTATTATAATTAGAATATATATTACATTTAAAAATATATATGAGTATTTTAATTTTTATGAGTTAATAGAAATTTATAAAATTAAAAGATATCCTTATCAATAATTATATTTTTCTTATTTTATTATGATATTGAATAGACAATTATAAACTTATTAAATTCTGATATAATTAATTTAGCAGAGATTGAAAAATTTGATGTTATCCAAAAAGTTAATTATTGTTCCTAAAATTATCAGGAAAAAAAAATAATACTAATTATTTCAAAGAAATCAAAATCATTTGAGATTCTCTTTTGCCCAAAAAATTATATAAATATTAATATTAAAAATTAAAATTTTTAATTTTATAGTAAAATGAATAACGAAGAAGCCATTCAAATATTGTTATTAAAATCTGAGCAATAAGTGAAAACGATAAATATGCTTAATTCACAACTTGAAATATCAAATAATGAAAAATCTGAGTTAAGACTTTAAGTAAAAAATTAAATTAATCTTCAGATAATAGCTTTACAGAACGACAATATGACACTTAGAAGAGAAAAGGATGGTTTGTATTTTCAGATTAAATAATTGTAAAAGCAACTAGCAAATTAAGATTAGAATAAAGATATTTAGATTGGGTAAGAAAATAAACCTGGACAAGTTTTCAAATAAGAGATTCCTAAGTTTAATATATCAAAGCAAAAATAAGAATTTATTGAATAAGAACATAAAAGATTATTGGATGAAAATGGTAAGTTGCTGCAAGAAATTTAAGATTTTTAGGGACAATTATAATCAAAAAGCTTAATTATTGAATAATTATAACATCAAATATAAGAAATATAAAATGAAATCAATTTTAAGGAGGCATTAATTAAAAAAAAAGATTATCATATTCTTGAATATGAAAAAAAAATAACAAACATTTAAGATGTACATCAAGAGAAACTCAATGGATTATAGTATCAATTACAGAAAATGAGAGATTATATGTTATAAAGTTATTAAGAAAATGGAAGCGATAATTAAAATAATCAGGCCATATTTTCAAAGCTAATATAAAATACCGGAAACGTAGAATAAAATGCCAATAAAATATTAATAAATGATTAATAATAAATACAATAGCCCTAACATTCAATTCCTCAATTGTCGCAGTTGCCTGTATATAAATGAATAATATTAAATAGCTATCTGCTGAGAGATATAATACAGAAATTAATGAACTTTAAGCACAATCATCAGGAAGACATCATATTAAATAAAGTACAAATAATCCAGGATAAATGAGATAATCTAATGAATAAAATACTTTCTAACTCAATACAGTTTAATCTGAATTTAGTAATCAATCTCAACCCAAAGTATCTGAAAGATTTAAAAATAGTGATTATAATTGAAATAATAATTTTATATTTCTAAACTCAAAGTAGTAACAGAATATAAAAAACTTAATTTAATCATTATCAATACAACGTTTTATTTTTGTTCTTAAGTTCATCAAATATGATTTATAAAATATTTCAAAGATCATTTTTGAAAATGAAAAAAATGAAAATATTTATTTTATCAATTAAAATTTTTAATTTCCATATAAATAAATAAGATATTCTGTGAGATGAGCAAACTATTGTCAAAGTTTTATAAAATTAATAGCCTTAAAATGCATCTAATGAAAATAATGATAATATGAGAATTTCTTTAAATTGTAATAATAATAAGAATTTTCTAATTTCTAAATATGTAAATTTTAATTTAGTAGAGAAATGAATAAAAATAGAACTAAAAGAAAATGTGATATTATTTTGAAAAAGAGTTTTAAAAATAATTTGATAAAATATATTTCGGGATTTATGAATTATTAAATAATATATGTATATCTATAAAGGAGGGATAGTGTTTTTATTGATGAGGATGGGATAATGTCAGAATCCAGTAATATCAATAAATCCAGAGATAAGTGGGACAGCGTTATCAATGTTCTTTATATTCTTTTTTTTGGGGATTGGATCATTCATGAAGGAGATTAATAAGAAATTAAAGGTAAATAAATGTGAAAAGGTTTAGATTCCATTTTCTCCCATGCTGTTTGTTTTTGGCTTGTTTTTCGGTTTTTATTGGGATTCATTGGGTATCATAGGGCGAAGTTGTAAAAAGGTCAGCGAAATTGAGCCGGTACTAATATAGGGATGTATGTTTACAGATCGGAGTGTTGTTAATATTTCTACCGACGTTAATATATGAATCAGGATACAACTTTGATTGGCATTTATTCAAGAGACTATTTGCATAGACAGCAATATTGGCATTTCCTTGCGTGATAATATTATCTACATTATTGTAATTGTGTGTAAAAGTATTACTAAATTATGGTGATGATTATTTTACATGGGAGAGTGCTTTCATGTTTGGAGCAATGTTGAGTTGTACAGATACAGTTGCAGTGTTGGCGTTATTAAAAGAAAGTGGAGCATAAAAGAGATTTTAGAGTTTAATAGAGGGAGAGAGTTTATTAAATGATGGAGCATGTGTTATGTTATTTTAAATATCATATGGAATAGTAAGAGGAAGATCAGCATCTGCATTTGATGTAGGATCTTTATTTTTTACATTATGTGTAGGTGGAACATTAATAGGATTAGTATTTGGAATGGCATGTGTTTATTGGATTAAGAAGATAGCAAATGATGAGATTCTTGTTTTAAATATAACAATAGTCTCAGCATTCTTGGTTTATTTTATATCTGAAAATGTTGATTTCGGTGTGCATATATCAGGTGTGTTGGGATTAGTATCATTAAGTTTATTTATGGCAGCATTTGGAAGATCTCGTATATCGCATGAAGCTGATCATGCATTAAGAGAATTTTGGGAATATGTTGTTTTTGCCAGTGAAGTTATCATTTTTATTTTGGGTGGAATTATTGCAGGAATTAGAGTATTCAAAGATGAAAGTGAAATTACATAATTAGATTTTTATAAAATGATTGCATTATGGTGGTGTTTAATTGGATGTAGATTTATTTCTATTGCTGTTTTCTATCCTTGGCTTAATAAATTAGGTTATGGATTGAGTTGGTCCTAAGTTATTGTCTTAACTTATGGAGGATTAAGAGGATCTATAGGTATAGCTTTTGCCTTAATTGTTGCCAAAGATGAATCATTACCCACTAAATGGAGAGATATTATATTATTTCATATGTCAGGAATTGCTGTTTGTACTCTTGTTGTTAATGGAACTACTCTCTCTTTATTAATTAGATTACTTGGATTATCTACTTAATCTGATATTAGAGAAAAAATTTATTCTAATTTCTTATCTAAATTAAATGAAGAAATTGATAGTGAGTGCAAAAAAAATAATGAATTAAAATATCTCAAAGAGGCTGATGTTGAATATGTCAAAACTTTAAGTGGCTATAAAGTCTATTTAGCAGAATGCAATAAAATCATTGATAAATTAGCTAAACATGAAAAAGCATAAAAAGAAATCTAAATGAAAAATATTCATCAACCATTAATGGATGATGAAGAAGATTAAGAATTAGATCAAAATTTATTAACTGAAATCAGAAGAATCTTTCTTATGGCATTAAAAGGTATCTATATGGAATAATTTGAATCTAATCAATGTAGTCCTGATACAATTATTCTATTGACTGAAAGTGCAAATTTAGATCTTGATAATGATAAAGAACCTATGAATTCATGGGAATTCTTATAGAGCCAATTTTCAGAAAGATACATTAATTTACTGTTTTATATGAAAGATAAGTTTATTATTGGAGTTCTAGCTAGAAATTAATTGTTTTCATATATCTACACAATTTATGATGCTGTTTCAGCTTATATTGAAGCTATTTCAATTTTAAAAGAGGAGGCTTCACATTATCATTTTTCATAAAATTTATTATCAGAAATTTTGAATGAAGTTGAAGATAATAAAAAATCGGCTGTTTCATATTTGGAAGGATACTTAGAAGTATCGTTTCCTGAAATTTCTAGAGAATTACATACAAAGAAAGCTGCATTTGAAATATTAGAATTTGAAAAATAAGTATTAAGAAACAATCTTTAATCTGGGTAATTAAATGACAAGGAATTTTTAAGGATGAAAAGAAATATAGATAAAAAAGTAAAAAATCTAAATGATTTAAATCCACCTTGGTAAATGCCATCTTTAGTTGATATACTCACTCAACATGAATTATTTAAGTCACTCTCATCAGCCAATATAATAAAATTATTAGAAGGTTCAAGAGAAGATTCATTTGGAAGAGATTAATTGATTTATAAAGAAGGAGATAGGGCTAGTGAAATCTGTATCATAACAAGAGGAGCTGGAAATGAATTTAGTGATAGATCAAAAATAAGAGAGAGAAGAACTTTGAATGAAGCTACACCAATATATATGTTAGTTGCTCCATCAATCAGATATTAAACATCATTAGTAGCAGATTGTGTCATTAATGCAACATTTATCAAAATATAAGCTTTATAAACCATTATGAAATAAATTCCAGAGTTTGAAGAAGCAATATGGAGATATTCTATTCCTCTTTTGTGTAGAGTTTATAGTGATCATTTAAAACCTTTATGCAATTTTAAAATGAGTTAGATTGTAGAAATAGTATCTAAGTCACTTTTTTAAAAGATGAAGAAGAATTAATTAATCAGATTTGAGTAGGGAGGAATTTTGTTAAAAGGTAGATAAAATTTTATCATTACTAGGTACATTGTGTGAGGGTAAGGAAAGCATTTAAGAAGCATCTTCAGAAGATGAGGATGCATTAAAGAATACAGATGAAGATAAAGATTCAACTTAGAAGGATGCTTTATGTTTGATTGGGCCTACATCATAACCATTAAGAGCCAAGACTGGAATAATAATTTTACTATTTAAGTAGTATTAATTGCTTGAATAATATAATTAATTGAATTAGACAATAAACGAAGGAGGTAAATCTTCATATAGAAGATCGAGCAAATCAGATTTATAGAAAAGATCCTTGACAGTTATACATTGAAAAGTGAGATTTGATTTGAAATAACTTTAATTATTAAATGATTTTCTTATCAACACTAATAAAAGTGGCATCGATAACGTCAATAGTTTTGTTAGCTGGTGGATCGACTTATTATTATTTACAGAGCGATAACAGTAACAAATTAGAGAGAAATCACTTAAAAGGTAACCATGTTAAAGTACATAATACCCATTTTCATCACGGAAAAATGGAAGATGAAGAAGTGCACATTTGCAATCATGGTCATTTCATAAAGGAAATTGAAATAGAGGAGCCAGAACGTCCAACAGAGATTCCAATAGAAGCAAGATTATCACATGAATAAATGCTAATTAAGGATCATAAATAAGGAAATTGGTAAACAATTAGAATAAAGACAGATTATTCATCTTTTTAGGTATTGATTAATATAACTATAATAGGCGTCATAATAATAAGCGGATTTCATAGAAAATAAATTAGTGAAAGCAGCAACAGGATTTTTAAAAGCCGCCATAAAAGTTTATCCTTCATCAAAATTATTTTTAAGTGGATAATGTGGTACAGTTATGATTCCAAGTTCCTTCAAAAGTGGTGTGAATGGAGTTGATTTAGTATTATTTGTAACAGCTACGACTTCTTAAGAGACATGGGTAGCAAGAGCAGGAGCATGTAGATTAGATCCAACTACTTTAAGACCAACAGCTGGTTCATTAGAATTCAATTTGAAATACTTTAATTAATTAGATTTCAGTAAATTAAGTGAAGGTAAATGGTTTAAATGGATATAAACAACAATCCATGAAATAACACATGTCTTAGGATTTAGTAGTGGATTATTCCCCTATTATATAGATCCTAATACAATGTAGAAATTAGGTTTAAGTTAGATAGTAAAATCATATGGAGGAAGAGATTGGATAATATTACCAAAAGTAGTAAATGCAGTAAAAAGTCATTTTGGATGTTAATCTGCTTGGGGGGCTCCTTTAGAAAATAATGGAGGATAAGGAACAGCTGGAAGTCATTGGGAAAGAACAGCATTTGGTAATGAAGCTATGACTGGATCAGAATTCCCAGATTCAGTTTTCACTATTTTTACTTTCAATTTACTTGAATCAACAGGGTGGTATAATATGGATCATAGATAATCTGAACCATTTAATTGGGGAAAAGATGAAGGATGTCCTATTGCCTAAGGATAATGTGTTTAAGGATTAAGAGAATTCTGTAAAGCAGGAAGTGATGGATGTTCATCTGATTTTACAGGAATTGCTACTTGCTCATTAAGTGATGTATTAACTGATGGTTGTGGATATTGGAGAGCATATGGTAATAGTGATTGCAGATATAACTCTGATTTTATTGGTCAATTAGCATAATATGGTGGATATTACGGAAATGATAGTAAATGTTTCTACACTACTTTACCTACTAAAATTGGATTCTAAGGAGTGGTTTCTGATTGTTTTAAAGCTCTATGTTAAGATAATGTTGTGACATTCTCCATTACAAATAAGAGCTATCAATGTGTGACAACTGGACAAGTAATCATTTTCTAAATTTTATTAGACAATTAATGTTAAGTATTCCTATTATAGTGCAACTGTCACTTGCCCAGATATTAAACATTTCTGTAATACTCAGAGAACTTGTCCTAATGCTTGCAGTGGAGTTGGTACCTGCAGAGGAACCACGTGTTATTGTTGGTCTGGGTATAGTGGAGCAGACTGTTCTACATCCTTATGATTATTCAAACAATTTAAATCAATCAAAATCATCAATTATTATTTAAATAAATTAATTATAATCATGCTCCTATTCCCTCTTTTAAACTGTAAAATGCCCCTTTTATATTCATTAAACTTTAATACTTTCCTTCTTCTACTATTTTTCCATCTTTGAATACGTATATCATATCAGAATCCTCATAATAAATGTATATTAAATACTTTTATTGTAGATATTCTATGAGCTATTACGATTGCAGTTTTCCCTTCCATTAGATTATTCAAGCTATCCTATATTAATTATTCACTTGCAGTATCTAGGGCACTTGTAGCTTCATCAAGTAGTAAAAGATTTGAATCTCTAAGAATAGCTCTAGCAATAGCAATTCTTTATTTTTATCCACCTGAAATTTAAGTTCCTTTTGGACCAACTTATCTTTCAAATCCTTATCCTCTTTATTTTGAATTTTCGTTTTATTCCATTTAAATCTCTTCAAATTAGTTATTGATAATAAATTCATATGCATAGGCCTTTTTGGCAGCATTTTCAATTTAATCAAAGCTTATGGAAGATAAATTATATTAAATATTTTACTTAATAGTACCATTAAATAAGACAGGTTCTTATGAGACAATGGCAAATTATCTCCTGATATATCTAATATCATAATGATTAATATCAATTCCGTTGATGGTTATGATTCCTTAATCAGGTTCATAAAATCTCATCAACATCTGAAAGAGAGTAGATTTACCACATCCAGAGGGTCCAACAAAAGCAACTTTTTAAGCTTATTTAATAGTTAAGTTTAAATTTTGAAATACATTTTTGTCTCTACTAGGATATTTGAATGTAATATTATTAAATGAAATATCTCCATGAAGAGGATTAGTTAATCTTGATTTATATAAACGTTATTCTCTTTGAAACTCATCCTCAGAATCTAAGATTTGAAATATGTTTTTGCTAGCATTTTTAGCAGCTCCAATATCACCAGCAAATGCAGCATTATTACCTGCTCCCATAGTAGCAAATGTTAATGAGAATATAGTTTTGAACATATCATTAACACTTAAATCAATATCTCTACAAAAGACAGCTCCCACATAAAAGATAATAGCATTCATAATAAACATATTCATTTAAGAGAATCCCATAGCTAATCCTGCTTTGAATCCTTTTGATGTAGCTTATTAAAGTGGCATCTAAACTTTCTTTTAATAAATATCAAGAATAGTTTATTCATTACCAAATGAAAAAACAGTTCTAATATTTGTAACAGCTTCCATTATTAAATTTCCTGAATCTTTATATGCTTCATCAGTCTAAGCAGAGAAACCTTACATTAATTTAGCTTGGAGTGCACCAGAAATAAATGTAAAGGGTGTAATTCCCAAAGTAACTAGAGTTAAAGCCCAACTACTTGTAAATGCAATTGTTAATCCACAAACTAAAGATGCTACATTAGCAAGATTAATTCCAATTATAGAAGAAGTCAATCCATTTATCAATTTACAATCAACAGATAATCTACTAGTCAAAGTTCCTGCATTATTTTTAGATTCATCAAAAAATGCAATTGGCATTCTTAATAATTTTCTAAATGTATCAGATCTTAATTTAAGAGTGAGTCTTTCGCCTACATAACTTAAACAAAAAGATTATATTGTCCATAATGTAAATGCACAACATCCTATAATAAAAAAATATAAAGCATTCTTATCTGCTTCTCCTCTAACATAAGCCATTTTCTGACTTCTCTCTTAATCAGTATAATTTTTTGGATTTGAAAGAGCTAATACTGTAATCATATCAGATAAAAATATTGAAAATATTGGAAAAGTACATCCATTAGCCATTGCTGCTAAAACTCCAATAAGGAATTAAAATCTTTCTTATTTATTATAATTAAATAATCTACCCATTTAAGCATCTACTTCTTTTTTGTCTTCTTATTATAATTCCTTATTTACAACTTTATCATAAGATTTACTATCTCTTTTTATGATCAAATCAAGTTCTTGTAATTATTTAAATTGATCAACTGCTTCCTCTGCAATATTTTTCTTATCTGCAATATTCATTTAGATTATTTTCTAACTGTTTTTTGTATCATTAAGTTTAGTTATACTATCTTATATAATCTTTTGACTACTAACAGATATTAATGGCTCTTCATCTACTCCTTTCTTTTATACTTGACTTTTAGCCAAATTTTCATAATATCCATGTAAATTCATTAATTCTTAATGAGTTCCCATTTCAACAACATTACCTTTTTCAATAACATAAATTATATCTGCATTTTAAATAGTACTCAATCTATGAGCAATAACAACAGTTGTAATACCTTAAGAAACTTCATCTAGAGTCTCCTATATTAATCGTTCATTTGTTCTATCTAAAGCACTAGTAGCTTCATCTAATAATAAAACTTATGGTTTTTTTAATATAGCTCTAGCTATAGCAATTCTTTATTTCTAACCTCCACTTAATTAATTACCTCCAATACCTACATAAGTTTCTAATCCTTTTTCCATTTTTTAAACAAAATCCCAAGCATTAGCTTTTTTCAAAGCATCAATTAAATCTTCTTCTTTTGCATCAGTTTTACCATATAATAAATTTTCTCTAATACTAGTAGCAAAGAGTACTGGTTCTTATCCAACTAAACCAATTCTACTTCTAAGATCTATAAGATCTAAATCTTTAATATCAATTCCACAAAATAACACTTAACCTTAATCACAATCATAAAATCTTTCTATTAATTGCATAACTGTAGATTTACCACATCCACTTTATCCTACTAAAGCTACTTTTTTTCCAGGAGGAATTTTTAAATTTAATCCATTTAATACCAATTAATCTGGTTTATTTGGATATTTAAATTTAATATCTTTGAATTCAATTTCTCCATCAAAATTTAATATTTTTTTAGGATTAAGGGAATTATAGATTTTAGGTTTTCTATCTAATATTTCATACATAGTAGCAGCTGCTGCTTAACCTTTAGCAAAATTCTAAATACATGGACCTGCTTAACCTAATGAAAATCCGCCAGTAACTACACTAAAATATATAGTCATAACATCTCCAACAGTGTAAACAGAATCTTAATTTGGATTATATGTCTATATATAATTAATAAATATTACTTGATCTGCTATTAATTTTGCTCCATACCAAAATCCTAATGCATATGACCATAAACTTGCTGCCCATATTAATCCTATTGCTATCCCTACTCCAAAATCATATTTAGTTGTTTTATTTGCTGCATTCAACAATAATTCATAATACCTCTCATGTTCATAATCTTCTCCATCTAACATTTTAACTGTTTTTATTCCATTTATTGCTTATTCTGCTAATGCTCCAGCTTCAGAATATGCTTGTTATGTTGCTAATGTAGATTATTAAATAATAACAGAAAACACAGCTGTTATTATTGATATAACTGGAAGTGTTGCTGTTATTACTATTGCTAATTACCAACCCCTAAATTATATTTATTTATATATATACCATATGTAACCATATAGAAAACCAAAAAATGTCATTGAAAATGTCATTATAAATGTTGGAACTTTCTCGCCTATTGCACCTTACACTGCAAATGATTCATTTGCTACTTTATTATTTAATTCATTTGGATTTATTGTATCAAACCATCCTACCTCTTAATGAAGAATTGCCTTAAAATAATTTTTTCTATATTCTATTCCCTATCTTTCACCTGCTATCATCCAAGTTGCAAACATAGTAAATGATAATCCACCCGTTACTATTGCTACTAATAAAAACCATCTATAATTCTATTTTATTTTATACATTGCATTCTATCCTGCTTATTTTACCATTTCATCCCCTGCCTCTTAAAATGAATTCACCATAGAACCAAATATTAAAGAAAATGAAGGTATTGCACCACCATTTAAAAATGCTGCAATTGAACCTAATACCATAAGCACAACATCCCCTTTTTTAGCATATCTAAATAATTTAAAATATGGAATCATTTTTTGTTTCCCTACTTCACTCTATCCATTCTCATCTCCACTTCTTACATTCTTTATTTCATAACCTTCTTTCATTTCCTCTATATTTAATAAATTTATTTTTCATTTCCTTCTATACTGAAATCAACTCACAAATTCCATCTAATTTTATAGAAAATTTATATTTCCATATCCCTTTTTTAACTAATTACTTTTCACAAATTTATTTAATTCTATATTATTCTACAAATCCATATCTTTCAATTAAACCATATAATATCCTAATTTATATAATTTATTTCTTTTTTAAATATCCTTATGAATATCCTATTTCTAAATTTTTATATTTTTCATTTAGTTTTTTATTTATTAATCAATCTTGAATTATCTAAATTTCCTATTATTTTAACATTTAAGTTTTAGAAATAAGATCTATTAACAGTCATTCAACTTTATATTTACTTAATTAACAAAATAGAAATCATGATTAAAAATATACAAATATCACAATTAATTGAAACTTACAAAATCATAAGTTAATTTAAAATTCATGACATCATAATAAAAGATAAGGGTCCTTGTGATGGAATAAAGAAATTATCTCTTATCTATGTTGTTCTATTCGGTGTTTATGAAGCAACTCTTCTGCGATTCGGACTTTGTTATAAACTTTTGTTTTGTATCTGCTATTTTAAACATTTAAAGTCTGTTTAATCATCCCATTCATTTGCAAATGTACTGAGTTTCCTTTGATTTATAAATTATACTTCTAATTTCAACAATGGTTTTTAAGGAGAATGAACTTTATCTTCAATATAATTATTAAAAACAGGTTATATTTGGATGGGAATTTACTGTTCGATTTCATAAAAATTTAGAGTGCTTATTTTATATAGTAACTCTTGAGGTAATTATATATATTATTTAATCTCTAAAAACCTCTTAACTTATTTAACTGCTCTTATCCTTTTTGTTTATTCATCTTATTTATTGAGAGATTCATATAAGAATATGATGTCTATAATTAATTTGATTGTAATGCACTTGATAATTGGCACATCTAACTTGAGAATGAGAACTTCAAGTTATCTATGCATTTTATACAAGATATTTATTTATTCATAATTGTTAGAGAAATTCTTTAGATAGCTATAATAGAGAAATGCTACACTTTAAAGTACAGCATCAGCCGTACTCTTTTACTACAGTTCAATTGTTGAATCTGTTACATAAGGAGCTAAATATTACCTTAACACATGAACTAAATAGTAAGACTTAAGAGCAGTTATTATTTTTTGAGGATGCTGCATTCTTAGGATAATTTTCTTAAGAGCTTCCTAAGAATTCACATTATTTAATTCTCCTCCAAGACATTTTGAGAGAATCTATAATTAATTCTTTTTGGTACAAGTATATGTTTTTGCTTTGGAGTATCATCAATTAAACATTTCAGCCAAGAAGTCTCCACCATATCCTTATTCAATATCCTCATATTTCTTGTAAAGCTATTAAACATTTATATTGAATATATATTTATTCGATTTTTATACAAAATCAGATTGCTATATATTCATTATAACATACCTTGTTGTATTAATTCTGAGTTTTAATATAAATAATAAAAAATAGAAAAAAAATAGTCTCTATAAATTCACATTAACTTAACATAATTTATGTCAAAATAAAACAAAGAAGAACAATCAGCAAAACTAAAGCTATAGGAACATTGGCATCAATTAATCAAACTAAAATATTAAGGCAGTAAATAAGATGAAACACACAAATTTTAATAGCCAAAGTGTATTCTTACTATTATTAAAAAAAGATTATCTGAAACAAAGAAATAGAATACTTACACCAAATTAGACTTTATAATAAGATCAAAATATTAGTAAAGACATATAAAATATTAAGTTTAGATTACATTAGATAAATTGAATTATTACAAGATGTAAACTATCTAATATAAACAATTTTGAATGAATATTTATTTTTAGTGTAAATAATGTGTTATCTACTCTATATTCATTAAGATCAAAGAATAAATTTAACTAATAAAATGTATAAATTTATTATTCAAAAATCTTATTTCTTAGAATATACAAGTTTTTATTACAAACAATTCTATTTTTCTTTGATTAGTTTAATTAGAATTTTTAAATTTCATTTTATATATTGGATATATAATATGAATGATTAATAAATTAATCATTCAAAAATTATATTAAAATATATAAAAGATATATTAATGATATTTCTTCAAAAAATGCTTAAATTTAATTAATTTAAAAGAAATCTAACTCATATTCTTGTAAAATCTGATTTCAATTTCTATTAAGATTTAAACTTTTCTATTTTTATAGATTTAGTAAAATTTAAATTGTATATGGTGTATTTTTAATAGAGATTAGATCAATGAATTTAGTATTAAGAAAATCAAATTATATTATGATAATTATAATATTAATCATCAATATCAATCAAAGAAGTATGATGTTTAGTTATTGTATTAAAAATTATATATTTATTAATGGGGAACCACAATTCCTTTTCATCAGAAAACCTTCAAGAAACTTATAAAACATAAATGGTAATATCCTGAATTATATTTAGATGCATTGGTATGTTGGGGTAGAGAAAGAAGTTTAAAAATTAGGATTTAATGTAAATGTCAGATCAGATCATCTTCATAAACAAAACTTTATGAAATTATATTAAATAGTTAAACCCTAATATGAATAAATCGTGATATTGAGTACAACAGAATCTCTATTTGCTACAGAGTTTGAAAATATCAAAAGATCAAAGAACACTCTGGATCCTTTTAAAGAATATTTTGTAACAACTTTGATTCAAGACAATGATCCTACTTTACTAGGTTTTGAGAAATAAGTACTTGATTAACTATCAACATTAAATGGTTGTTTGTTGGAAATTTTTTAAACATTTAGACAAACTTAACTGCCCAATTGTAGTAAAGAATTAGATACATTTATTATTAGATTTAGAGATTCATTTGTTTAAGTATATATGATAGTAGATATTTTATTTAGATCTTAATTCATTATTATGATTTGAATTTATTTGCTTCATCAAATAAATGTCATTTCTTAAATACTTCCTCTCTTTAATGTTTAGTATCTAATATGATTTTTAATGATCAGGTTGCCTCACATGTTTATTAAATCAAAAAACTAGAATAAATAGAGGAAAATGAGAAAATACACAATAGATTATAATCACTCAAAGATAGAACTTTAGTTGATTTTGGGATTTCGATTAAATATTGTCTAGATTGTACTACAAGAGATTATATATAAAGTAAATTATCATCTAAAGCTAATACATCTAATTAAAGTTCTTTGATCAATAAAAAAGATACTTTTGAAGCATTAATAATAGAAGATGTGGATTCTACTTAATTACCATCAAGACCATAAGCAAAATTACTATAAGGAACATTTTTTTAACAATCCCCATTTCAAAATGCTATTGAATCTTTAAAATTAATATAATTTCGATAAACTCCTCATCATAAAGTTAAATAATTAGTCGCTTGTTTTAGAAGTATTTATTCTGCCATAATTGATTACTATAACTAGTATACAAAATAACCTTCAATAATAAGCACTGATGAAATGATTCCAATTTTCCATTATGTACTTTGTAAGTCCTCACTTCAAAATCCTTATACTCATTTTGAGATCATGTAAAAATATCTAGGCAATTTAGATGGAGTTGAAGGATTCTATTTAGCGATTATGGAAGCAGTACTCAACATATAATGATTTGATTCATCATATTTAAATTTTTCTCTTTTACAAAAACTAATTAATTTATTATAGAATTATTAAAATAATTTAAAATGCAAGACCCTTACCATGATCAATATTCTCAATAAATAGAACAATTATTTAATCGGTATCTATTAAAATTAAATACGAATAGACTAAGATTTGAACTAAAAAAAAAATAAGACGGCCAAAAGGAACAAGTTGATGCTAATTCTCAAAAAATTGAAGAATTAGAAAAAATTATTTTTCAGTAAATTTAATTAATAACAATCTAGATTAAAAATTGATAATTAAAAAAAATAATCGCAAATCAATGAACTTTTAGATGCATAAAAGAAGTAGCTATCTAATTTTACAATCAGATTTACAAATGATATAATAAAATTATAGAAAATACTAAATACCATGGGAAAATCCCTACCTGTTGATCCCTAAACGAATTAAATTATAACATTATAATCTTATTAATAATCATAAATGTAATTTTTTTATAGAATTTTAGGGAAATAGATGTAAATAAGTCAATTAATTAAAAAATTCAAAAAGAGATAATTGAAAGATTTAATTTAATAAAGGAAGTCTTTTTGAAAAAATCAGAATTTTTAATCTCTTCCAGAAAACTTGAAGAATAAATTGAAAAACTTTAGATTTAATTGTAAATCATTTATTTTATATTCAGAAATTCTTAGGCAGATAATTTATAGTATAGAGGATATTACCATTAAGAAAATTAGAACATGTCAAATAAGTATTAAATTTTAGGTTAGTAGATGCATTAAAATGACATAAAATAATAAACTTTTTAGAAGTATTTAAAAATTTTGTTAATTTTTAAAGTTATTTAGAGAGTAAAGGACAAACCGTGATTTTAGAAAAACAATTTTAATAGAAATAAAATTGATCTTAAAAATAAAAACTAAAAATATATTTTTTAATTATTAAAAAAAAAATTAAAATTATGACAAAACAAATTCTTGCAAGAATTGAGTAATTTTTCTAAAAAATAGTCATCTTTGATTTTAGGTATACAATTAGTTAATTAGGCTTACTGAAGTAGAGGAGTTTGTAAATTCATTAAAAAATGAGAGATCAATAAGTAATAAAAAGTGTAATGATGATTAAATGTCACAATTATCAATAGAAATCTAACAAGAAATTAGCTAATAAATTAAAGAATTACTGTAAAGATAAAGTTAAGAAGAATAGATTTGGTAATCTCAAATCGAGGCTAAAATTAAAAATTTTTAACTAATCATTGAATAAATAGAAAAATAAAAATAAAACCTTAGAGATTTTGACCAGGATATCAGTTTAACAAAAAATATAGAGACTTCTCCAGAATGGATTGAAAAAAATAGAATAAATGTACAATAAATAGTTAATAATATATATGAATAAACAAGTAGATAAAGATCTGTTTCAGCAGAATCCTAATAATTTTTACACTAAGAAGAAAATTAAAGTTAAATAGGAAAATATTATAAATTAAAATTAGAATAGAAAAATTAAATAAATTAATATTGTTCTGGTTTTAGATAAGTTAGAGGAGATGGTAATTGTTTTTATACAGCTTTTGGATTTTAATATTTATAAATCTTAATTAATTAATTTGATTAGAATCAGTATAATTAGTTTATTGATAATATAGTGAAGAAAACAAACTTTATAATTGAATATAATAATATAAAATTATAAGATGAAAAAAGTTAAATGTTATTAAAAGAAGAGTTTATTTTTAGATTGAATTTAATTAGAAATATAGAAGATAGAAATGAGAGATAAATTTAATTGATTAAGCATTTTAGAGCTTATGAATAAGAAAAAGAATAATTAATAGATGGTTGTTTTTATGCTTTATCTACTATTTTCTTTAAAAATTTAAGTTTATTTATAATTGAGTAAGGTGAATTTAAAGATCATTTCCTTGAAAAGGAAGTGCTTTTAAAATGGGAATAAGAATGTAATGATAATGAAATTGTAATTTCCTCCTTAGCGAAATATTTAAATATGTAAAAATTTCTTTTATTTTAAGTCATATTTAAGTCTTCTTCATTGATAAAGAACATCTTTCAAAAAAGGACTATAATGAAGATTCTAATTATTTAATCATTTTATTGTTAAAACCAGGACATTACAATATTGGAATACAATTGAAATGATTATTAAAAAATCATATTATTTATATTAAACCATTTAAGTTTTTAATAAATAATAAAATTACTTTTTCTTTAATAATTAAACCAAATAGTTCACTTCTGATTATTTTTGTAGAAACAGATTAATTTTTCCAATTAATTTTAGTTATTCTTTATGTAATCCATATATTTTTTTATATAATTAAATTTTCTAAATAAATATTTCTAAAATCTTTATTAGTATATATTCAAAAATTAGATACCCAAAATGATTTATGTAATCTGGTATAATTAAATTAATTCATTGTTGAAAAAGGGTTATGATTACGAGATTTTTTCATGCTTCTTTAAGTTTTAATAATTGGAATTCCTGTATTAAATTCAGGCAATTTATATAGAATTTTTTATTTCTTAATTATTTTTACATCATTAGCAGTATTATTTAATTTGTTCTTAGTTTTTGGAATATTGAATGGTTTACTAGATAAATTCATTATATCTCTTTTTTCGACTTAATGACTCCTTGCTCTTTATTATGATTTGGGTTTAAATTCATAAAAATTTGTCTCAGTATTTTTAAATGACCTCTTAAGTATATCAATAGCTATTGACTCATCCAATTTGTGCAAATCCTTAAGGTTTAAGCTTTATCTCATCTATCTCTCAATCCTCCATGTCTAACTTTCTTTATTGTCAATATCAACAGAATTCCTTTTTTGTTCATCAAATTGATGTTCTTTCTAAATAAACTATTTAACATTTATTTATTTTGGTTCAGACAAATATTCAAATTATAACTTTTTATTAAGAGCTATGCATTTTGCTTTTTTATTTTTTTTATCCCATTCTTTAATGATCTAAATTTATTTCAACAATTTTTAGGTATCAGATGTATTTAAGTTTTGATTACCCTTTTAATCTGTTTAGGTGGAAAATTACTTAGAAATGTTCTATTATATACGAGCAGATAATTAATTTATATTTTGCATATTTTTATATGAAGAAATTTTAAAATAATCTAGAAAACTCTGATAAATTGAATTAATAAATCTGAAAGAAGAAAATGAAAAATTTTCTTAAATAAGATTACCTTTATTTTTTAAAATTATTTTTAGGAAGTTTAGTTATTCTTTTTCTCTGTTCTCTATTTTTTAACTTTTTATTTTCTTTCTTTTTTTTATCTTCCTTTTTTCCACTAACTTATTTTTTATTTTCTAATTCTTTTTCTAATCATCATTATCTCTAAGTAGAGANATTTCTTAATTATTTTTACATCATTAGCAGTATTATTTAATTTGTTCTTAGTTTTTGGAATATTGAATGGTTTACTAGATAAATTCATTATATCTCTTTTTTCGACTTAATGACTCCTTGCTCTTTATTATGATTTGGGTTTAAATTCATAAAAATTTGTCTCAGTATTTTTAAATGACCTCTTAAGTATATCAATAGCTATTGACTCATCCAATTTGTGCAAATCCTTAAGGTTTAAGCTTTATCTCATCTATCTCTCAATCCTCCATGTCTAACTTTCTTTATTGTCAATATCAACAGAATTCCTTTTTTGTTCATCAAATTGATGTTCTTTCTAAATAAACTATTTAACATTTATTTATTTTGGTTCAGACAAATATTCAAATTATAACTTTTTATTAAGAGCTATGCATTTTGCTTTTTTATTTTTTTTATCCCATTCTTTAATGATCTAAATTTATTTCAACAATTTTTAGGTATCAGATGTATTTAAGTTTTGATTACCCTTTTAATCTGTTTAGGTGGAAAATTACTTAGAAATGTTCTATTATATACGAGCAGATAATTAATTTATATTTTGCATATTTTTATATGAAGAAATTTTAAAATAATCTAGAAAACTCTGATAAATTGAATTAATAAATCTGAAAGAAGAAAATGAAAAATTTTCTTAAATAAGATTACCTTTATTTTTTAAAATTATTTTTAGGAAGTTTAGTTATTCTTTTTCTCTGTTCTCTATTTTTTAACTTTTTATTTTCTTTCTTTTTTTTATCTTCCTTTTTTCCACTAACTTATTTTTTATTTTCTAATTCTTTTTCTAATCATCATTATCTCTAAGTAGAGATACATTAGATGAAGAATCTGATTCATATCCTTCATCCTTTTTATCTGTTTTATTATAATCATCATTTAAATCCTCATTATGATCCAATTTCTTAATTTTATTTTTGAATTTCTAGATTATTTTTTCCTATTTTTTCTCCACCTTTTTAATTCCAAAATTTTTTGTAGTAAATCATTTTAGTGCTTGGGCTAAATTGCCACAACAATAAATTCATCTTATTCTTCTTCTAAATTTTCATTTCTTTATTCTCTCTCCTCTTACCCTATCTATAATTCTTTCTTCATTTATATTTTGAATATGTGAAGTGAATATTAATTTATGGAATTATCTTAGAGCATATTTCATAATATCCTTAGAGAATAGAGTAGATATGTACTTTTTTCTTAAAATTTTGATTTATATTTGAAATGTCTCATTTTAAAAATTCAAATGCACTATGATGATAACTTTCCATATTTTACAATACATCAATAAAGTAAAGTGGATCTTCTGTTTATAATACATTAAGTTGTATTCACTGAAATCTTCATGTATTAATTTACATTTTTAGTATAATGTTCTAATATATTTAGCAACTTGAATGTAAGGATCTTCATAAAGAATATTTTAATATTCGAATTAGAAAGAGAAATTGTTTATTAGAAAACAATAAAGAAAAATTATATTGGGATTGATTTTATGGTTTTTATATATTTAAATATAAAATGTTATAAATTTTCGTTTTTTCTATTTTGTCATTATTGACAGATGGATTTAAAGTGTTACGTCCATCATTTGTGGAAAGAAATAGAGTAGAAATGTCATTCAGTTAACGAATGAGTTACAATTTTGGAAATAATTTTAACATGTATACAAGTGATGGAGTTATAATTGACGATAAATAAATATAATTTGAAAAACCAGGTAGATTAGTTATGAATGTACCTTTGGTTGAGGGAATAGATTATGCTATACAATTTAAATTTGAAAGTTTGAATGCCAATCATATTGCATGTGTAGGTATTGGTAGTTAAGGATTCATTTTATCTGAAGTTTTAGGAGTTGAAAAAACAAACCTTAGTCATTTTTAATTAGGGTATTGTAGTGATGGTACCAATTCAACCTAATATCCTGATATGTATACAGATTTTAATGAATTTGATTATTATACTGATGAAGAATTTGATGAAATAGATTATTCATTTGGAGAATCATAAATGACAAATATATTTGGATAAAAAGAATTTTATATGGTGTTAAGAGAAAGATAATTAATATTTATGGATAATGAAGAGTATATAATATTTTATATAAATTTAGTTCTATTTTAACTATATTTAATGATTTAGATAGAGCTAGATCGTTTGTTCCTATTATTACTATGCATTATAGGAATGAAATTTAAAAAAAGTTAATAAAGAAAAGAGAATGTGTTATAAGAGAAGAATTTGCAATATTTCTTTAATTAGTAGGTTAATTAAATCCTTTCAAAAGAGAAATGCCGCCAGAAATGAAAGCTTAGAGAGAATAAGAGAAAAGAAAAAAAGAAACTGAATTAGCAAAAATGTTAAAAGAAAAATCAGATGAAAATGATTCAGGAGAAGAAGAAGGAGAAGAATAGGAAAAAAAAGATGAATAAGAAGTTACAGATGAAGATATAAAAAAAGAATAGAAAGAAGCTGTTAAAAGAAGCGAAGAAACTAAAAAAATGCATGAAGAAACATAAAATTAAGGTGAAGAATAATCAGATTAAGCAGCCATGGCTATTTTAGGAGAAGAAGATAATTTAAATGAAGAGAATGCTTTAAATGATTAAGATAAAATTGTAGAAGGAGAAGAAAATTTAAATGAAGATTAATTAAATCAAGATAATGAATAAATAAAAGAAAATTAATAATAAGATTAATTAGAATAAGAAGGTAATTTAGAAGAAGACAATAAACAAGATCAAAGTTAAGATAAAGAAAATTAATAAAATTAAAATACTTAAAATGATGAATAGATATCTAAAAATATGGATGATAATTAATAAGAAACATAGTAAGATTAAATATCAATTGATGGAAATTAAGACTTATCATAAAATTAAGATTAGGAAAGTTAAGGTGAATTATAATCCTAAGATTTAAATGATTAAGTTATGAAACCTGAAGATGATACAACATAAAGTTTTTTCAATATTTTAGATATATAATCTCATATTATTTATCCTACTTAATTCACTAGATAAATTGTACCTCTAAGAAATAGTGTAGTTGTTGAAAATAAATATACTGTTTTTTAAGATAATTAGAGATTAGCTAAACCTCTTTAAGATTATAAAAGTTGTGGTTATTCCTATTTGGATATACGTCCTTCCTAAAATAATTTCTTTGTTTAAATTTAAATTGATAATTTTGATGATTTATATGATCCTTATCCTATTGGATTTGGAGTATATGCTTATTAAATGCTTGATAGATTAAAAGGATGGAGAAATTTAGATGATCAATTATGGTGTATTGATAAAGAAAGTGAAGATTTATGGTAATTTGGTGCTCTTTATCGATCAGATGGAACATTTATTGATAGTTATATGTTTGGAGAATATTTTAAATATTAAGTAGATAAATAAGTTGAAAGATAATCTAAAATTAATATTTATTTCTCTAATAAAAACAGAGTGGCATTCAGTTTTGATGATGAAAAAACCATTATGTTAACTTGTGTAAATCCAAAATTCAAATATTATGTTCCAATTTTTGAAACTAAAGCTTATAAAGGTGTACCTTCTATTACATTATTATAATATATTGATGACATTTAAATTCCATTTGAGTATTCTGATAGTATTGAAAACATTTAGAATGCTTTTAGTAAAATATTTAATCTAATCTCAAAATTTATTATTGAAAAAAGAGGTTCATTCAATGAAAATGATGATGATTATACAATCTCAGGAATAGATGATACTAAAAGTGCTTCAATAAATATGTGGGATATAAAACTATATGATTCTCAATATGAATGGTGGATTAAAATTGAAGATTTAAAATAAGATAAATAAGATATTAATCTTTGTATTGGAATAAATTAAATGAGTTCTGAAGATATTTTAACAAGTCTATTTGATAGATAATACAAAGCTTAAGTTGCTTATCTATGTGATAAGAATGATTTTATTCATACATTTTTTTAAGAATGTCCAATAAGTTCTAATCCTATTCTCTTTGTTCCAGGAACTGTTTTAAGATTTAGATTAAGTGATTACTTGATGGAAGTTCATGATGGATATTAATTTGTTTATTTTTCTCTTAGAAAAGCTGGAAAAACTGGAATAATTCCAAGTGCAATAATTAAATCTGATTCTAAAAATAAAATCACCTTTTTGAAAGGTCCAATAAGTTTTGGACCAAATCCTCTTGCTGATAGAGTTGATTTTGAATAGTTAAATAGAGAAAATTTTGCAAGTTATGATATATTTACATTTCCTGTTTTAGAAAATGCTAAAAATGGATTATTTAAATCAAACACTAATGAACCTTTATTTAAAAAAAATTAAATACCCAAACCAGGTAGAAAAGAACCTCCTTTAGGAAAAAACTTTGAAGTAGAACAAGAAGAACAAAAAATTGAAGAATAAGCCTCTAATTTAGAATCTTAATAAGAAGAAGAAAAAGAATTAGAAAATGAAGATGCTTAAAAAATAGCTTCATCTAATATTCCAACTGAATCTCATGCCACTATATGTATTATATTATTTTATTTTAGATGGAGATACTAATGTTAAATGTTTAATTATCTATGAACATTGTGATTTTGAAGGTCCAAGTAAATTACTTTATCCAAACCGATTTGAAGCTGGTCCTCCTAATGAATTTAGATCTTTTGAACTTTGTCGTGATACTAAACTCATTGAAATTGTTATCGAAGGACATGTTCAAGAAAAGATGTTTGTATCTTAATCAGTAGAATGTCTCCCTAGTCCCTTTTTTGTAGATGAAATTATTATAATATGAAATTCTATATCTAATTAATCAATTAATATCTCAGTTTTTTAATCCTATATTGTAATGACCAGGCTATATTAAGAGTACTATTTTATTTGGTTAATCTTTTTCATATTCAATTAGATTAAAGGATCCTTTGTGAAAAAATATTAATTTTACATAACTAAAAATATATAATTAAATACATTTTTAAATATTAAGCTAAAATAGAAATTATTATTTCGTTATTATTGCATTCAGTTTCCCAAGTGAGTAAGTTTATTCTATCATAAACTTAATCTTTAAGTTCACTATTATCTAAAAGTCTATCACTTAAGTTTCTAAAAAATATTGTAGATAAACAATAAAAACATCCATCACCATTATTTGAAATCTAATATTCTTGATATTGCTTTTTTAATTCCATTACTCTTTCTTCCTTTGATTCTATTTTTCTTATTTATTGCAAAACATAAATGAATTATTCCATTAAGAGTTTTTCTATATTTTCATCATCTATCTTAAAATTTTTGCAATAAATCTTAAATTTTATCTGATTTTATTTTATAAAATTTAAAAATTCATTGAATTCAGCATCGCTATATGTTATTAATAATAATTTTAAAAATTAAAAGCCAAATGCAGTATAAAAACAATTTCCATCACCACGAACAAATAACATTTCATTGCAATGAATTTTAAGTTCACATCTTATTTTTAATTATTTAATACCATAATTGGAATATAAAGTATTTTAATCTCCATATTATTAAAGGTAGAATTTCTGATTTTCTTCTACATATCTTTATTCAGATGAGATTTAAACTAACTTTTTAACATTTTCTATTGTTATGTTTAATCTTTGTTAATCAAAAATTATTTAATCATTTTATGGATAATGTTGTTTAAAGTTTAATGATTCATTTATCTTTTCCTTATTATCTATTTATTCTTCATAGTTTATTTGTTATTTTTTGAGAGTATCGTTAAAATTTTTTTTTTTATTATCAAGATTTTAAAATTTATTCGTCAATTATTAATTCTGATATTTCTAATCACTTTTTAAGGCTTATTTTTAGGGAGTTTATAGATTTTTATTTTATATTTTTTAAAAGTTATTTTATTAATTTTTTATTATTGGAGAACTGCTTTTCTACCAATTTTAAATTTATGGATTTTTTTATACTACCGGTTTTTCTAAGGAATATTATTGTTGTTATTGAAATTAAAAATTTTTCTTATTGTTTTGAATATTTTTTCCGATTTCAGGAGATTACAATTTTCTATTATGTTGAGATTGCGCTTTCTTTTTAATCTTGAATTATTCCTAATGATAATTCTCCCTTTTTTATGGTTAATTTTGTTTGTTTTATTTTTAAGAATTCTATTTATAATAGGTCTATGATGAAAATGCTTGTTTTTTAGGTAAACTTTTAGGTTTGGAAGAAGATTTATTAAATTTTTAATTGTGAAGTTTTGCAAATTTCTCTTTATTTGCCTCTGATTTTGCCTTTGAGGATTTAGTTTCTTACATATAATGTTTGCATTTTTAAGACATTTAGATAAATAATAAAATAAATAAAATTTTATTAATTTACAAAATGCAACATCATATATTATAAAAAAATTAAATTCAATTACACCTGATTTTAATTATTTTGAACATTTTGAAACTATCGTTGATTTAATAAATCTCAAATAATTAATGATTTTTGATTCCTTTAGAAAGAAGTTGTTATTTTCTTGATTAATTATTTTCTACAATTTTATTTCTATTATGATCATAATTTTTTTCATATATTATTATCAATATCCTTTTCCTTCATATAAAACTTATAATAGTTCTGTTATTTATTAATGTTGTAAAAATATCCGAAACAGATTTCCATTTATTTTATAAATTTATTAAAATGAGTATTTTCTATTAGAAAAAAAATTAAATAAATTTTATTTTTGCATCAATAAAGTTAAAATGTAGAAAGTAGAATAAAATACTAACTCTAATGCATAAAAATCAGGATAAAATATTAACTCCTAATGCAATAATGAGAATTCAATTAATTTACTCATTTAACAAAACTGCAATTATTAAATTAATAGACAGAAATTAACTTCTAATTAATATAAACCTCATATATTAAATTGGAGTATATCTCCTTAAAGAAAAAGATATAGTAATGAATTATAAAATACTTAAAAAATCTATTTCCCTTTATCAAATACCTCACCTAGAAGAATACTTAATTCTAATCGTTAAAATAAATTTGTTAATTAAAAATCTAATAATGATTTTAGTCCAAATAATTACTCATTTAAATATACTAATTCAAAAAATATCTCTCCATTAAGAAATAAAAATTAACCATTCTCTCCATAAGGTCATAAGAGTTTTTTATTAGAAAAACTTCATTCTGGTAGCCCAAAGTTAAATTTTTATTTATTAAAGTAATAATTATAAAATACTTATACACCTTAAGAAGATGAGAAAAAACAGTAGAATACACCTAAAGAAGATGAGAAAAAACTTTAGAATACACCTAAAGAAGATGAGAAAAAACAGTAGAATTCGAAAGAAAAATAAATTAATAATAATACTATAATAAGAGATGATAGAGAAATTAATTCTTAGAATGAAAACAATATTTAAAATATTTAAGATATTTAAGATATTTAAGATGACAATCCTCCTAAGCCTTACGTTACTATAATACAATAAAATTAAGATCGAAGAATGAGAGTTTTCAATTTTTTAAAAGATTTATATAATAAAACTTCAGGGCTGCGAAGAGTTGAAGAATAATATAAAATTTATATCAGAGATATAGAAGATAATAAGGCACTTAAAAAGAATTATGGTTTAAAATTATAAAACTTAGCATTTGTCAGCTAAATTTGTAATGCATTCATACAAGTTAGAGGCGATGGAAACTGCTTTTATACAGCGTTTGGATTCTAATTTCTTTATCATTTGCTATGTAAATATTCAGATGATCAATTTAAAAAATCTATATAAACTTTTTTAGAGATGAAATTAAGATTTAAGATTGTATATGATGGAAAATAAATAGATGATTAGAATGGAATTGAAAAAGATATGTTAGAAGAATTTATTTATATAATTGAGATGTTGAGATAAGTTGTAGAAAAAGATAGATTTAATCAATTAAAATAATAATTTGCTGAATATGAAATCAGTTAGAATGGAGATGCTTTCTTATATGGCTTATAAACTATCTTTTTAAGAAATTTGAGTGCTTATTATTTAGAGGAAAGTGAATTCAAGGATGTAGTTTATGATAAAGAAAATTTACTAATTTGGGAAACTGAATGCAACACAAATGAAGTAATCATTAAAATGCTGGCTTAATAATTATAATTGTAAGATATATAAAATTTATAATAGTCATGTAAAGTTATTATTTATGGACGAATAAGTAATATTAAGAGAATATGAGTAATAAAATTAAAACTTAATAATTTTATTAATCAAACCTGGACATTATAATATAGGTTGGAATATCAAAAATTGATAAATTTATATTTTATAAATACCACAATTTTTTCTTATATCATTTGATTATTTTTATTTTCTTTTTTTTTTTACTTGTATTTATTTTATACTTTGGATATATTTAAATATATATATTACTCATAATTAATATATATAATCCCTGATAAATTATCACCTTGTTAAAAATTAATAAAAAAATTTACTGAAAGAATTCAAATTAAGTTAATTATATAAATATTTAAAATTCAACATAATTTTAAAAGCTGTTTTAATACATTCTATTCTAAATATATATAAAATGAAGAACTCTTGTTAATTTAACAATAATCAGATCATGGAAAAAAAATAGAGAAATTATTTGATTTGTATACTAGTATAAATATATAAATAATTAATAACTTCTATTAAAAGATTTTAATATTTTTTATTATTATATTCATAATTGTATTGAATAATGTTCAGGGCCAAGTGCAATCGTTTTACCATCTAAGATAAATTCAATATTTTATTATAAATTAGGAAAGATAGCTAACGTTCTAATAATTGAATCTACTTCCTTTTCACTGTATTATTCCTAAATAATAATAATAAAAAATTACCAATAGTTTTTATTAATGGAAAATAGGAGAGTTTTAGGCAATTGAAATAGTAAATTTATGGTTATCTATATCAATATCCTTATTACAGATAAATTTTAAGTATTTATGTTTATAATCAGATGAAAATATTGGTTCTTTGATTTAGTTTCTAATCCAAGCAATTTCAGATTAAACAGCATTTGATAATTCAGATTCAGCTTCAAATTAATAGAAGACAATTATTTTATCCTCTAATTACAAACCTAGTTTCTTTCTTAAATTTTAAATTCTATTAGTGAATAATTTTGCAAATCCAAGATTCTTAAGTTATTATGTTTATGAAGGATCTAAAATAATAGAGAATCCATCATGAGGAGCAAAGATTAGTTATTTATGTTTTTCAGTGTTAAATTAATCAGTAATTTTAACGTGGTTTAATAATAATTCGCAATCCATTTCTACTTCATTGTATTCGACATTGTTTTTACCTTTTTTAACTTTTGGATTTGGTTATTTTTAAATTTATTCTTTAACTTTGTTTTCCTTCTTTACTTTAACTTTGAGTTACAATTTACCATCATTTTTGAGAGTAAGGATTTATTTTTAAGTGAAATTACGTATTTATTGAATAAGATCTGGTCCAAATTTATCTTTTAATTCTTATCCACATATTTTATTATCAGGTTCAGCTTTAAGTCGAATATATTATTCAATATTATTTTCAACCAAAACAGTTGGAGTATTAATTTCTTCTTCGATATATTTTGATAAGAATTAAACACTTTAAATTAGCTATTCATCAGTAGTTAAGATAGTTAAACTATTGATAGGTTATTTAAGAGTAATTTAATGAGATTCTCTTAATTTTTTAGCAGCTTGAACAACAATTTGCATTTTTTCAACCTAAGATTCAATTTTTGGATCAATCAATTCTTTTCTAATATCAGGAATTTAAAGAAAATGAATTGATTCTTTATTATTTTTACCTTATGGAATACATTTCTTAAGATTTTAATAAATTGATTCTGTGATGAAAGGAACATATGGAGACATCAAAAGAGTGATTTTTAAAAGAACATAAAAAAATGCATTCAAACTTACTATCCATTCTTAATTTCCTTTATTTCCCTTGATTCTATTTCTATTCAATCTCACATACCAATTAGTCATTGTATTTAAATAACTAATTAATCTAGGTATTATAGTATGAATCCTATATGATTCCATTTCATTTTTAACAAATTCAATTAATGCTTAGCTGCTAGAAATAATCCATTTATCCATAGGATTAACACCTTTTGTAATAGCGTTTTCATCAAATTCAAACTTACCTATAACATTTTCATATCTTTATATATTTTAGATCAAAAATCTATAAGCATTATGCCATGGTAAAAACACAATCTTAATAACTTCTTAAATTCCATCTTTATTGAAATACAATGATTAAGCTTTAACCAATTTACTATTGATAAGATATTATCAATTAAATATATATATGCAGATGAATTTTATTAAAATCTTTCCATATTAGTTTAAAAATCATCAAAATTCTCTAAAAAATATTCTTTTATAATTGAAGATAATAATATAATTTAAATATATAACCAAAAACTTCTTCAATTCTTCTTAATTAACCCTTACCTTATTTACTTGGGATAGTAAAACGATCAATAAATTCTCTATGAAGATCTGTGATATTTTCTACACCAGAAAGTTATTGTAATTCTTCAATAGATCCAACACAAACCATTTCTTCATAATCATCACTAACCCAAATTGGAATAGGATTTCCCCAAAATCTATTTCTACTGAAGCACCAATCTTATGCATCATCTAACCAATTGTGAAATCTTTCCTCTTGAATTGAAGATGGTATCCATCTAGCTTTTTTATTGTTAGCAAGAAGTTTATCTTTAATAGCAGTAACTTTAATAAACCAACAATTAATTGCTTTATAAATTATAGGAGTTTAAGATCTCCAACAATATGGATAATTATGTTTAACTTCTCCATCTTTAATTAATCTTCCATTGTTTTTAAGTACTTTTCTAATTTCTTTATCTGCATCTTTAACATACATTCCTGAGAAATCTTTAACTGATTCTAAGAATCTTCCACTAGAATCGATTGGTACTAAAGGATCTGATGGATTAATAATAGCAACTTTTAAACAAGCCTTATAATCGTCTTCACCAAATCCAGGTGCACAATGTACAATACCAGTGCCATCATTACTAGTAACAAAATTAGCAGCCAAAACTCTAAAACATCCTTATTCTCTTCTTTCCAAAAAATAATTAAATAATGGAACATATTCAATTCCAACTAATTCAGAACCTTTGAATTTCTAAACTATCTCATATAATTTATCATCTTAATATAATTCAATAATTCTTGATTATGCTAAGATATAATGAGTATTAGATGCTTTATCTAATAATTTTACATAATCTAAATCTGGATGAACAGCCAAAGCTAAATTACTAGGCAACTTCCAAGGAGTAGTTGTCCAAGCTACAAACTTGGTTGTTTCATCAGTAATCAAAGGGAATGTTACGACGATAGCATAATCACATACTTCTTTATCATAAAAGGTCTCAAAGTTACTAAGGACTGTAGAACAACCATTTGAATATGGCATAATTCTACATCCTCTGTATATTAATCCTTTTTACCACATTTCTTTAAAAACCCACCAAACACTTTCCATATAAGATTTATCTAATGTTTTGTAATCATTATCAAAATCAATCCATCTTCCTAATCTTCCAATAATTCTTCTCCATTCTTATACATTTCTCATTACTATAGCTTTACATTCATGATTATATTTATCAATTCCCATCTAAATATTTATCATTACAATATTTACCTTTAAAATATCACTCCTATGCTGAATTTTTAAAGTTTTATCTATTACATTTTCCACAGGTAAACCATGACAATCCCATCCAAATCTTCTCTCTACATATCTCCCATTCATTGCAAAATATCTACAAACCACATCCTATATTTTTACAATTAATAATTACTTTTATTGTACCAGTACAAATATGATCATAATGTGGTAAACCTATAGCAGATGGAGGTCCATCATAAAATATAAATCTAGGACAATCCTTCCTCAGTTCTAATTATTTATGGAATGCATTAATCTATTCCCAATATTTTAATATTTTAACCTCTTCCTAAGAAAAATCGGGGTTTTCGATAACTATTCATTTAATCATATTCCATACCATTTGTAAATTCTGTTTTCTAAGCCATACACAATAATGTTAAGAATTTTTATTTTTTAAATAGATCCTTTAGATATATAATTAGGTGAGTACTTATACCAAAAATTAATATATTCATAATTTAACAGATAGTCCATAATTCAAATCATCATCTAAATAAAATAGACATGTATCATTCTTACTCCAAATACTCTCTAATCTGCTCATAAAAATGCAGCCATTGTCTCTTAATTAATTACTATTATTATCCATATACCAAACTTCGCTAGCTCTATCTTTATTTCATACTAAGATATTAATCCACATTCTTTGTTCTTTTAACATCTAAAAACACTAATAAATTTGTAGACTATCTACCAATTAATATTTATGTTTTTCTAAACTCAATATTTTATTGAAGTAAATCTGTAAATCTAATGAACTAACTTCAATCATTCCTACATTATTTGAACTCTTTATAATTTCTATTGATTCTATATTTTCCAATCCTTAACCAAATTTCTCCTTCATTTTTAATTCTTTCTCTTCTCCAGATCCTAATTCTACTTCATATAATATGACACTGTTTCTTAATTTATTTATATTTTTTTATTAGATGATTAGTTCATGATTTATTCTATTATAGTTAAAATTTCTTTATAATGGTAATTTTATGAATCTATCCTTAGCAGATTTTATGCATTTTAAGAATACCATTAATAATTAAAATAATCTTGTACTTTTTTATTTGTAATTTTTTCAACATTTATCCCTTCAATTATAGTATTTTTGTCTCTAAAAAATTTTAATATTTGAACTCTATTAAATTTTATAAATAATTTATCATCTAATAAGTATTTTTTTACAATAAGTATCAAAAGAAATTAAAAAATTTTTACATCCTTGAAATTTAATTCTCAATTTCTCATAAACATAAGTCTTATATTTGGTATTGGATTTTATTTATTTTAATTTTGATAAGAATGCTATAATAAAATCAATATTTTAGTTGATTATTAAATATAAGCATAATTAAATTATTAATAATATTTTCAACAGTCAATTTGATTTTTTTTTCTTTTTATTTTTATTTCCAAGTTTTTCTCTTAGTTAGTTATCCTTTCTTTGATCAACTTCCATCTACTCTTTTACATCTTATCCCTTAGATATATCTTTCATTTTCATATATAATAAATCCAATCTGTAGAGACAATCAGAAGGTAAAGGATTTGATTCCAACTCGAGAATATAAGGTCTAAATAAGTAATAATCAGTACCTATGAATTTCGATATCCCAATAAGTATTATTATCAAATTGTAAAAATGAAGTCCATCTACCCTTAATATTAATATTATAAGTATCTAAAATTTCTTAAGGTAAAATTTTTAATTTAATGCCTGAATTAGTTTTGTGAGCTTTCAAACATTTTTAAATGCATTCAGGAGTGACTTTACAAACTTTTCCAATAAATTAGTCTATTTTTTAAGAAGAAGAACTAAAGAAGCCAGCATTTTTATCTTTAGGATTAAAAGTGATTTCAACTAATAACTAATTTTCTGGCTAAAAACAATAGCTCCTTTTATGACAATTAACACTTCTTTAACCTAATAAAACTCCATAAAGCATAAATGGTTATGCCATATAATAGAACTTAAGATTATTATTAAAGAAATGTATTTAAGAATGGCCTTATTATTCACCAGCCAAACTATTTGTTCCCATATTAACCAAAGGGCAGAATGCACCAAATAACTTATAACCTCTACCATACATAATGTAATTGGAAATAGGAGGATGATGAGAAGTTTATTCTAAATAAATAGGACATCCTTTAATTCTACCTTCAAATGTTTCTCCAATGATTGGATTGAATGGTTTTTCTTATTAAACACCCATCATGAAACTAGATATATGAAATGCAACAGTTAGTTTTAATTATTCTAAAACATCTGTAGTTTAGGCAGCCTTTTCTAAAAAAACAGGAGCATGTCCTTAAGCTCTAGCCATTCTCTCTAAAAATGATCTTGCTTCAAAAACTTAGATAGGTAATGAGACTGACATTAATGATTTTCCACTTAATAAATTTGATCCCATCCTTTTTATTATATCCAATAAAACACTTCTTTGATCACTTATTAATTTCTTATTTGTATATATCAATCCTCCTTTTTTTGGATCGACTTCATAATATTTAGTCAGTAAAAAATGACCATCTTCTTTTGTTGTTTCTAAGAATTTGTCTAAACCAGAAAGAATACTTTGATTAAATTACCTTTAAATTGATCTTTAGATAAATTGTCCTGTTTAAATCAAATCTTAAATTTCCTTATATTCTTAAATTGATTATTATTAATGTTGTTCTGAAGTAATCCTCAGTACTTCAGGCTCTAAATGAATAAATGATATTAACAAATTATCAATGTCATCATCCTCATTTTTAATTAGTACATGTTCTGTCTATTATTTAATATAATGATCAGCTTCAAGGATTTGATTATCAATGTTTTCTAAATTCAAGAGAAATCTTTTCATAACTTCTTCTCCTTTTTCTCTGTTCTCACATTCCAAATATACATCTTCAATAATTTAAGTTTTAAACTTATCTTCATGTTTAGCTTAGATAAGAACACAAGATCGAGTGATTTTATATTCATCTGTACCTTCAACTTTATCTTTATCAATTTAATTATGATGAACTTCATTTCCAATATATTTCTTTAAAATGCAATATGAATTTTCATCTATTTAAAAATGTTTTTGTGTGTAAATTAATCTGATTTTCTCATTTTAATTTGGTGTGTGTGACTTTGACTATTTAGAAAAAGTTTCTTATGAAAAAAACTCATTTTCTATATCTTTTAAACTTCTCGGCTTATTTTATTTTAATTGGTTACTGGACTACTTTTAATCCATATCAAATTCTGTGTATATGATTGCACAATCTTTTTTGGTTGGGTATACTTAATAAATGGATACTTAAGGATTCCAATTATCAACAAATGTGTGTATAGATAATTCCTATAATATCAAAACACCATCATTACATCAAAAATTCTTGCAGGAGGCATTTCTGATTTTAAAAAGAATCTCATATGCAAAGAATCATTTGGGTCTTAATAAAGTTATTTATTCTAAGATTGAAATAAGACTTTAAATGAATGGATATCTGAAAAACCTTACAAATTTTCATGAGTGTTTTACAATATTATTTCAATGTCATTCTTATATTTATATTACTATTTACTTATAAAAATTAAGGCAGTAATGGAATCATCTACCTCATTCGAGAAACCTAACTTGGTTTTATGGCCATTAAAGGAACTCCTTAATTTATCACTCTTTCTGATTCTGGCATAAATTAATCCCATTCCTATAATTTTTTTTCTTTGTTCTCTTTTTTTATCTGTATTGCCAGGTATTTCCCATTAAAAAAATCATACCACTATAATGCGTCAGATTAATTATTCCAACCAAATCGTACCACTTTAGGCTCTATTTCCTATTAAGTCTTTAACTTTATTGCCCATTTCCCTTGATGAAATGCAACAGGATGGATTATATAATTTTGAATTAACAGCTACTTTTATGTTTAACCCTTGACGTCAATATATCTGAGTATCTCTCTATATATCAAGCCCTTACCTATTATATCAAATCATATATCAAAAGCCTTTCCCCCCATCCCTTCAATACTCCACTCTCTTTAAATGCACTACAACTCATTAATGCATTCTTATTATTATCGAGCATTCTGATATTTAAATTTATAATAAATAAAAATATAATTCAATCTTATTTCTTAATCCTATTTCAAATTATCTCTTATAAAATTTGTTCTTTATCAATATTAATGAGATATTATAAGAAATATTTCTAAGACGGAGCTTTCTAATATAGCTCTAAGCAGTTAGCTGTTTTTAAATTGCAATATACGCAAATTTAAGCCAAAATGACTGATAACTCTTTTTCTTTCAAAATTACTGACAATCCATTAATCAACTTCTGTCTTGACTCTTTATTCCAAAGATAAAAGAATGCCACATTCTTCTCATAATTTGGATCTATTTTCATTTTTACTATCTTTAATAGTTGATCAAAATTATTATTAAGAATCAATTGTTCTATTACTTTTTGTAATTGTGTCTAAGGACTGTAATTTTAGCACACAAAATATTAAATCTCTTTATATTACTTCAAAAATTTAATTTATTTAAAATTTATCACCCTAATATTCCCTTAAGTGTTTTATTCAAATTATTGTAGATCTCCCACTGTACTTGGATTTAAAAATTATTGATATATTTAATCTTTTATTTTACATACTATTTAAGATGCATATGGTTTCTTATCCTGATCGCTTTTCAATTTCATTTAATTTATTAACAAATTTATGCAATTCAACTAAGTTCTAATTGTTGAGACTTACTCTTCCTTTTTTAAATTGACTAATAAAGACTCTAAATTTACTATATATTCGAATAATAAAGTATAAGCCTTAAATAATAATAAAAAATTACTTTTGCTTTGGATTCCAATTTTATCAAGTAGCTAAAATATGACAATATTTTATTTTCATTTTGCAAATGGTGAAATTCTCTAGAGTAATTCAAAAAATATTCTCCTAATTTATCTGTTGTTCTCACATCTAATATATATCTAAATAAATTACTTAAATAACATTTAAATAAGGAGATATCATCAACTTCTATTTTATATGAATCGAAACATTTCGAAACATCATTTAAATTAAAGGTTTAAAATAGTAAGTTATATTACTTCAATTTGATTGCATAAAATATCAATTTATTTAAAATTAATTCTTGCTTTTTATCCTATTTTGGATTTTATTTTTAGATTGTGAAACTAATTTTCAATTTCAATTCTCTGTTTTGATTTTCATTATTTTTTATAAAATATAATGCATCACTTGGTATCTACCTTGTTTGTTATGCTATTCTAAAATGTCTAATTAGACCTTTTGAATCAACATTATGTGAATGAAAATTAATTTGATTATGAACAAATTATTCACAAAAATATTCATCTGGCATAGCGAAATTCTTCTAAATATCATTAAATATTAAATTTATATAAGGTTTCAATGCATTTTTGAAAGTTTTTAAATTTGAAAGCTTAATTTATTCTCTTATTTTACTAAATTATTTTTTCAAAATTTTTTATATATCTATTAGTTTTTCATCCTCAATTAATGAGAGTAACAAAATTGTATTATAAAATTGTTAAAATTCGATTTCAAATTCTATTTTTTAATTGGTTAAATTTGACAACACTCCATATCCTAAAAAGATTTCTAACTGCATTTAATAATAATCCCATAACAAAGAAACAACCATTGATTTAAGTATGGCTAACTTTCTTAATTCTTGTTCATCAATAATTGCGATATCATTAGATTCATAATTTTCTTGAAATAATTAATTTAAGTTTTCATTTAAATCTTCCAATTAATCATTTAATTCTTTTTATACTAAATTAATATCTAGTTATAAAGCTTTTATAGCAGGCTTAACAAATATATAAATATTTTCAACTTCTCTTATCAAATCATCTAAAAAATTTTGAGTAAAAAAATTATTAAGTTAAGATTTCATCATAGAAATAATCTTTCTTTGATCTATATTTCTATGTATCATTTTTATTAATTTTTGAAACTAATTAAGAGTATTTTCTGGTTTTGGATATATTTTAATTGATTAAAACAAAATCTCATCATCTATTAAGTTTAGTTATTGTCTTAATTAATTTTTAAATTTCTCCACTTGCCTTCGTAAAGTTTTCTGTTTTAAACTTATCTTATCTGAAATTTATTGCATATAAGTAACATGATTATTATAAAATAATAATAATTTATCGTTTGACTAAATATGGCCGAGTACTGGGGCTTAATTTTAAGTTATTAATTTAAAACTTGTTTTTTCCTTGTTTAATTGATAAATCTCAAATCCTTAAATCAAAATAATATGGTTTTAAAGAATACTTAAATAGTAATGATTATCAGGATTTATTTTTTCCAAATTAAATATATAATCAATATTTAATTAATTTTAATTTATTGAACATAGCTTTAGTTACCCATTGATTTAATAATACACATATAATTTTCCTTTTTGATTTTGTTATAATATATTAACATGCTTAGTTTTTATGTTATCTTAACATTATAATTAAATTGCTTAATATTCTGTCTTTCTCAATTCTAACAAATAAAATTGACTTATATAAGAAAAATGTAAAATCTAACTATCATTTAAAGTGAAGGCACTTCTCCAATTTTAAGAAAAGCAATTAAAAAATCCACTAAAATTTTTAGTACCAAAATTCAATTTGTATTTATTTTTTTAAAACTCTCCACTAATAACATCTAAAGTTACATGATATAAAATATCTGTGTCACTAATGAAATAAAACTAAAATCCATCCTTATGAACAGATGATTAAACTAAGCATTGTATTTTTATATTTTCAACCACTAAATTTTTTAATATGTTTGTCGTGTTTGTTATTAAATTTTTATAAAAAATGTGTCCAATTTGAGTAACTACTAATAAATATGGTGTATTATTATCATTAATAAATGTGCATCCATTTTATGTAATAGGATGAGAAAACTCTAGATACTCTTAAGTATGTTGCATTTTTTTTGTAAATATCTCTCTCATGTTATATATGTTAATTGACACTATTTAACAATTAAGTAATTATCTAAAGAATATAAAATCAAATATTACAAGACATATGCAATCTGATCAATTTCTAAAGAAATATTAGAGTCTGTGCATTCAAAAAGATCATTTGATGCAGATCCTGAAAGTGGAATTGATGAATGTTGAATAGTTTGCTATTGTATTGCCTCGCCCAATAAAATCTCTTCAAGCATAATATTTATATTTATTTAGAAATAAAATTAAACACATTCAAAATTCATATTATTTGAATGCTAATAATTTATAAATAAATTAATAATAACAATTTATAAGGCAAGATAGCTAGCAATTAGCTTTTATTAAAATATAGAAATTTATAAAAACTAAAATTTGCATGCCTAAGGATAATTAAATAACAACAAAATATATAAAGTAATTAATAATTCAAGTTTATAAAAAAAAGAAAATTTAATTTACTATGATTTAAATTAAGACTTAAAAAAAAGGGTTTATATTAATTAAAAATAACATTTAGAAAATTATGAATAGAAAGAAAGAATCATTTACTAATAAGCTTAAAGAGAAAATTAAATAAGTAGATATTTTCGGTTAATCCATAACATTAAGTTTTAGATAAGAAGAATAGCATACAACTTTTGTTGGTGGAGTAGCTTCAATATTAGTATTGGCAACAATTATCAGTTTTTTCTATTCAAACATAATAGGATTTTTTATTATGAATTAAGTAAAATCATAAACAGAAATGATATTCGAAGATGACCCTGGTATAATTTAACTTAATTCAAACTCTTTTATGTTTGCTGTCTAAATTGAACATGCGAATTTCGTTGATTAACCATTCTTTAATATTACAGTAGAACAAAGACATTATCAAAATCAAAATGGAACTCTTACAAAACTACCAAATTAATATATTGATTTAGTAATTTGCACTTAAGACCATTTTCAATAAATATTTTCATCATCAGGTATTGATAATGCAGAACAATTCAAAGACTTAAATATGACGAATTTTCTATGTCCTAATGTTTAAAAATAAAATATTTGGACAGTTGGAGGTACATATACAAGTATATTTATTATTAAAATTAGGCTCTGATTATTACTTTTTAAAATTTTCAGTAACGACTTGTGTAAATGATTCTTAAAGTAATTTGAGTTGGAAACCAAATTGCAAAACTCAGAAAGAAATGTTTAAATAATTGGAAATTTAGGGTTCCTTTAGATTTCAATTATTTACAACTAATTTTGTAACTAAAATTATTATTAAATTAAGATAGTAAATCCAGATTCTCCACGAGATTACATTACACCGTATCTAGCAATTGAACAATTTTATACATTTGTACCAAATTAAATGTTTGTTTAATCTGATATTTTTTTAAGAGAAAAAAGGATTAATACAGATAAAGGTATATTAATGTATCCAATGAATGTTGAAGAGATTGTTGCTTACCGAGAACATATGGATAGTAGATAATAATTTGAAATAGGAGGACTAAATAGTAATTATTTTGCAGCATTCTATTTATAAAGAAGTCCTTTTAGTTATAATATTTCTAGAAGCTTTGTAACTTTAGATGAATTATTAAGTTATTTAGGAGGGTTTTCATAATTTATGACTGTTATTTTGGGGATGTTAATAAATATTTTTAATAAATAGAGTCTCTTATTATAATTAGCAAATGATTTATATGAATTTAATTTCTAAGAATAATAAGAAAATACAAGGGCTTTTATATCTAATCTATTANAATTAAATAAGTAGATATTTTCGGTTAATCCATAACATTAAGTTTTAGATAAGAAGAATAGCATACAACTTTTGTTGGTGGAGTAGCTTCAATATTAGTATTGGCAACAATTATCAGTTTTTTCTATTCAAACATAATAGGATTTTTTATTATGAATTAAGTAAAATCATAAACAGAAATGATATTCGAAGATGACCCTGGTATAATTTAACTTAATTCAAACTCTTTTATGTTTGCTGTCTAAATTGAACATGCGAATTTCGTTGATTAACCATTCTTTAATATTACAGTAGAACAAAGACATTATCAAAATCAAAATGGAACTCTTACAAAACTACCAAATTAATATATTGATTTAGTAATTTGCACTTAAGACCATTTTCAATAAATATTTTCATCATCAGGTATTGATAATGCAGAACAATTCAAAGACTTAAATATGACGAATTTTCTATGTCCTAATGTTTAAAAATAAAATATTTGGACAGTTGGAGGTACATATACAAGTATATTTATTATTAAAATTAGGCTCTGATTATTACTTTTTAAAATTTTCAGTAACGACTTGTGTAAATGATTCTTAAAGTAATTTGAGTTGGAAACCAAATTGCAAAACTCAGAAAGAAATGTTTAAATAATTGGAAATTTAGGGTTCCTTTAGATTTCAATTATTTACAACTAATTTTGTAACTAAAATTATTATTAAATTAAGATAGTAAATCCAGATTCTCCACGAGATTACATTACACCGTATCTAGCAATTGAACAATTTTATACATTTGTACCAAATTAAATGTTTGTTTAATCTGATATTTTTTTAAGAGAAAAAAGGATTAATACAGATAAAGGTATATTAATGTATCCAATGAATGTTGAAGAGATTGTTGCTTACCGAGAACATATGGATAGTAGATAATAATTTGAAATAGGAGGACTAAATAGTAATTATTTTGCAGCATTCTATTTATAAAGAAGTCCTTTTAGTTATAATATTTCTAGAAGCTTTGTAACTTTAGATGAATTATTAAGTTATTTAGGAGGGTTTTCATAATTTATGACTGTTATTTTGGGGATGTTAATAAATATTTTTAATAAATAGAGTCTCTTATTATAATTAGCAAATGATTTATATGAATTTAATTTCTAAGAATAATAAGAAAATACAAGGGCTTTTATATCTAATCTATTATAATAGTCAAGACATGGAAGGGAAATGATAAAACAAAAAAGTTAAGGGAAAGATATAAAAATCTAATCAATCACTCCTTTTACTTCTAAGCCCTAAATGGATTAAAAATTATCTTAAGTGATGTCCCCTTAATAAACTTAAAAATAATTTATACAAATTTAATCAACAAGATAACTTTAAAGTTTGAAAGATAAAACTTATGATCAATATGAAAAATTTAAAACATTCATGATAAATCAAAAGAAGTTAACTTTAGGAATAAGGATACTTTTAAGTGATATTTTGCCTTTTGATTGTTTCTAGGACCCAGAAAGTGTTTTGTTTAAAAAAGCTATGTATTATCCATCAGAATAATTAGGAATTAAGTTAGCAAAGAACTTGATATACGTTATATAATGAATTAATTACATGAAATCACAAAACTAAAAAAAGTAATGTTCAATAGAGAATAGTTTTAACTTTTTAATTTCAGCCATAAACCAACAATAAGTTTGGTAAAGGAAAAGAAAAACAGATTATCATCAAAGTATTATTTATTTTAATATTTGATAGATTTATTTATTTGGGGGAAGAGGAAGCAGTGAATAATGAGTTGCAAAATCAATATAATACATTAGTTTAAGCATATTCAAAATTAACATCATGCGATACACAATTCTCTGATGATTAGACTTAATTAAATTAAAGATTAATCGGCCTTTTGGGAAGAGATTTACCACTCTGGATAGAAATGGAATTGCAATAAGAAAATTCAGAATCCATAAAGGAGCCTGAACCAGATGATTTAGATGAATTATCAAAAACATGAATAAATTTTATATGTAAATTAAAAAATATTTTATGCATTTCTTTCATAAAAGAGATAACTCATGTTTTTGATAAGTATTTTTAGAAATCTTTTAATTAAATTTAATGAAGACTCTCAATTAATGATAACAGAGGATGAAATATATATATAGATAATTAACCTAATATATCAAATTATAAAATTATAATCTCTTCATTTTTGTGTCTTCCTCTTTATACAAAATCATTAGAAGTATTTAATTTCTAATTTTAAGATTTAATTTTTTTAAGGTATCCTTTTATAATATTGAAATAGTAATTTCTGGAGAATTAAATTAAAATCTCAAAGGTCAGTATAGTTGTCGCTAATCTTAGATGATAAAAACTTCCCTTATTAGAAATTCTTTCACACAATATAATCATAGAATTTTTACTATTTGTTTAAACTATAATAAATTAAAAAAAAGTTTTTTAGATAAATAATAAACAATGAATATCTTCTCAATGTTGCTAGACAACTTAAATTTCTCTATCGCTAAATAAGTTTTCTTCTTCTTTTGGTTCATTGTTTTCAGATTCTACTTGTTATTGTTATTAAGCACTTAACTCTTTTTCCAATACCTTCATTAATTCAGGGCCTAATAATATAATGAGTCTTTAATTGAATCGAATCTATTCTTAATTTTAATTTTCTTGTTCTGAACCAGTTATTTTTTCATATGAATTTAGAAGATCAGTAAATTGTCTCATCATTCCACAATCCTCCGCTGTTGCCATTCCATCTACAATACATCTATATAAAATTGAAGAATTTTACCTTGTAGACCTTCTCTTACTTTTATCTTAGATTAAAGCTATTTTTGGCTTACGGCTAAAATTAAATAATGTTATTTATTCGGAAGTGAATAAAATCTTTTTTAATTTTGTTAATTCATGAAGTTGTTTGATAATATACTCAATATCTAATTCTTTATTAACTTAATCACTTAAAGTAATAAATGATTTTTTACATAGCTCTTTACAAAACTAGACAATCATCATCTTTTAAAGATTCTATTGGAATGAAAGAACTTAAAATAACTCGGAAACCTAAACCTATCACATATTTCTTTTTCAAAAATTCTTTAAAATCATCAAAATATTATAATGTTTTAGCTTTCACTGCTGATAATCTTGATTATACAACTTATTGAGTATTTTAAAAGATTTCTATAGACTGTTTCTTATCAAAATTTTATCTATTATTTTATAAAGGAGTAGCTTTTTATAACATTTCTGGTTTATTTTGAAAAGCTGTTATTGTTTGAATTTTTGGAATAGTTTCAAATTTTTTTGACATTTTGCTTTTCAACATTTCTTTACCTCTCTCAGTTCTAGCTAATAGGTTATTTAGATGCATTTAAGTATTTTATCTAGCCGAACTCATATCAAATTCATATAAATCATTAGCAATAGATACAATTAAATGTTATCGATTATAGAATCTAACTATGATACCCACAACTACAATCATAAATTATGTAAATCCTCCTAAATAACTAAGTAATTCATCGAGTCTTAAAAATTTTCTATTGATGTAATAAGAATAAGGGCTTCTTTAAAAATAAAATGCTCCATAATAATTTGGAGTTATTCTTGATATTTCAAATTACTCTCTTTAATCTCCATAATCTCTAAAAGCAAATGTTTCATTTTATTTATCAGGATACATTAGTATTCCTTTATCAGTTGTAACTTTTTTTGTTCTAAAAAAAATATCAGATTGAACGAACATTTTATCTGGAACAAAAGTATAAAATTGATCAACGGCTAGATAAGGCTAAACATGATCTTTAGGTCTGTTTGGATTTATTAACTAAATTAAAATAGATAAATATACAAAATTTGTTGTATACACTTAAAAACGAAAGCTTCCTTATCTATTTAATGTATTCTAAATTTCTTCTGAAGTTTTACATATTGGTTTCCAAGTAAAATTATTTTATGATGAATCTCTACAATTAGTAACAGAAAATTTTAAGAAGTAATAATCACTACTTGCCCATACTCCACCAACAGTCATATTAAGACTATGAACAAAGTTGAGATTAGGACATAAGAAATTTTATAAATTTTATTGTTCGAATTGTTCTCGAAAATCTACACTGTACCTTTCAAATAATGGTTGGAAATGTTAAAGGGTACATGGTACTAAATCAATATATTAATTAGGGTAGCGAAATTAAGTACCATTAGGAAAACGATAATAATGACGCTATTCAACACTGATATTAAAATAAGGATTCGTTGTAAAATTATCCTGTTCAATCTGAACCGCGAACATAAAGTGTTCCTGATTTAAGATCAAAATATCAGGGTCATCTGCGAATGTAAATTCTTAGGTAGAAGTCACATTCAATTTTGCAAAAAAATTGATTATGTTCGAATAAAAAAAGCTAATAATTGTTCCAATTATACAAATGGATAAAAAACCTCCCATACTTGTTTTGTACTATTCTTCTTTACGAAAACTAAGGTTTATAGATTAACCAAATATATCTATTGATTTCAAGCCCTCTTTGAATTTCTAAATCATTTATTTATAAAAATTATTTCAAGATTGTATAGAAATTACGATATCAAATAATGCTTTTGTAAGAAATATCTTAATCTCTCACTAAATGATAAAATTTGATAAAATATTTCCATTTTATGTTTGATATAACATTTTTTAATTTATAATTAAAATAATGTCGAAAAAATTAATTATATTTATAAGGCTATCATCATAACCCAATAGCTGCCTCAAGATTATTTGATTTCTATCACTATGTTTTTATTAAATTTTACTCAATATTAAATTTTCGATTTATAATAAATACATAATAGTATGAATATTTTAAGTTTAAATTTTATTATAATTAAGATATAAATGTTTTTATGCTTTCGGCTATGATACAGCTTGTTTATAATTATTAATATTTACCAATTTTATTTTTCTTCATTTTTTCAGATTTGCTATCATATTTTCAAATAATTAAAGTTAATTTTATTTTTATTTGGAATTTTTTAAAATAAAAGTTTTTAAATTATTGACATTGAAAAATTTCTAGTTTTTGAATTCATTTTTTTAAGAATCAATTTTAAAGAAAAATTATAAATTTATTGCCACCATTTTTAAACTTTGAATAAAAGTTAATAATATAAAATTTTAACTATTTTTACAAGAGTTAGAGATGGCTTAGATATTTTTTCATTTATCCTTTTTATGCGACTAATCATTTTTATTCTCTTGTTTATTGGTTTACCACTTCACTTTAAATCTGCTAATAAAATTTTATTCTTAATTAATTTTTTTTTGATAAAATTAAAATTCTTGAGAAATCTAGCCTTTTTAATAATTATTTTCCTCTTTATGTATAATTGATTACTCAATGATTAATTAAAATATACATTAGTATCATTGATGAACAGTAACACAAGTACACCTCATATTAAGTAATATTTTGAATTTAATTCTTTATATAGCAATACTTACTCCTAAAAGATTTCATTTTGATTAATCTGACGAATTCAAAGTAAACTTCCTAACATATCATTGTAATGTAACTGATTATTTATAAGAGCATTAATTCTAAACATGTATTAAGCATATTTAAAAAAATTTTATTTTGAATAATATAATGGATTAATAATTATATGAGTGTTTAATGAAAATGCAAAGTTTCTTTTCAAATTATCAGAGTCAAATGGAACCATTAATTGAATCTTCTTTATCAGAATTGAAAAAACATTGCAAAAATTTAGGAACATGGGATTCAGAAAGTCCAAATATACAATTGTACTTCGATAAATTATAAGGGCTTTGGAATAATTTTAAATAGAAAAAGAATATTTCACCGTAAAATCTTCAATGGGGATAATAACAACTTAAAGAAATTATCTCTAAATTTAATGAAATTGAAAATTATTAAAGTATTGATTTTAGACAGGAAAACATAAATCTAAAAAATGAAGTTACCATACTTCGAATACAATTAGATTGTCTGTAAAGAAAGTAACAAAAAGAACAGACAGATAATTAACATTTTTAGAGAGCTGCTGAAGAATTAAAAAATAAAACTTAAAAGATCAAATAACTATAAAAGGAAGTTTATCGATTAGAAGAAAAACTTTAAGAAAATTAAAAGAGACATTCAGAAATGATCCAAAATATTAAAAAAAACTACTCAAACAAGCCTTTTGATGTAAAGTAATTAGAAGAAGAAAATAAAAAATTAAAAAGCATGAATTTAGAATTAGAACAAGAAGTTTATTATTTACAAAATTAATTAAAAGGCAAAGACTTTTTAATATAGGACACAAGAGAATTAGTAAAAACTAAAGAGGAAGTCGAGAAGTTATAAATAGAAAATTAAGCTTTAGAAGATAAAATATAATAATTATATGATGTATAAATATATTCTATTATTTAGAAATTAAATTTAGGTAAATAAAATGAAATAGAAAATCAAATTAGTAATGATGATTTAAAAATGAAACAATTATAAACCTAATTGTAAAAAGCAGTTGATGAAAATAAAATTATGGAAAAACGAATTGATCAGCTAATGCAATAAAATTAAAAATATATTTAAAAAACATTAGACTCTCTAGGAATTCGAATATTGGCAGATATTAAAGGGGTTTAATCTCATTTTAATGTTGTGATGCATTTATTAGAAAATTTAACACCATTTTCAGCTGTTTTAACTGTAACAGATAAGGTAAGTTCAATTATTCTCAAATTTATAACATACATTCGAAAAGAAGCAGAGTAATTTATACCTTAAAATGCTATATAATTATAAGAACTGTTAAGAATAGAATTATAAAATGATAATAGAGCAAATGATTTCTTATTTCAAATAATTGATCATCTTTCTAAAGCAATAATAAAATAAGATGAATAAAAATCATAAATAGCAACTATTATTTAAACTTAAGATTCTCCAATATTTAATCAATTTTTCTTTTTACAAAGGGTTTTTCCAATGGAGTTAGAGAGTTAAAATTATATAATATTATTTAGTCTAATAAAATGAAGTGCCTTTGATAAATAGTATAAAACATATTCGATATTTTGAATCAAATATTTAGCCAGGAATTGAATTCTCAACATATTTACAAGGGTTGATAAAATTAGAAGGGTAAGAAAATATTATAGATAACAATGTTGGAGATTTTAATTTCTTAATTTTTCCTTAATATTTGATATTTAATGTTTGTGAATTGTCATTGTAAAAGGCAGATATAAAAATATCCTCAAAGTTTTCTTCAAATTGTTTGAACTAAAATACTTAAGATTTTGAATACACATTAATATCAATAATTCATTGCAGCGATGTTCCTAATGGATTATCTACATATTCGATAACATTATACAAAAATAATAATTGGGTTTAGATATAACATGATAAGGCAATGTCTATAAATATCAATGAATTATTAACATTTAAATAACCATACAATGATAAAGAATTATTGATTTACAAAAGATTAAAAAAATGAAATATAATCATATTTATTAGAAAACTATAAATAATCAAATGAAAAAATCAAAATTCTTGTTAGATCTTGTTATAGTGTGTATTAAAACTATTCACTTTCCAATGTTAAATTCAACTTAATAATTTCCTACTCCTAGACTGTATTATCTACAAACTTTGACCTACAAATGTTTATTTTTTGTACTCTTTGATAACTTTTAAATGCTAAGCCAATGTCTCTATATAATTATAAATCATCCCTATTTAAGACTTTCCCTCAGAAATTGAATTTATTCTTCTTCTTACATTTTAACTCCTAATATCATCGATCTTTTAATTCAAAAACAATGGTATTATATTTTTAGGTTTCATAATAGTCAGGCCCAGGAATCTATTACATACATTATAACTAATTTCCTTCCCTAACTTTTTTATCCTCTTAAAATATTTCTATTCCTCTTTTGAATGCACTACTACCATTGCCTTATACTTTAACTATTATTGTGCTCTTATTCATGTATGCTTATACTCCAGAGTCTTCGATATTTCAAATAATCACGGTCCTTTTATTTTTTTGTCAGTTCTATTTTTCTTTTTCCAGTTTTAAACAAAGGTACCTTGGAAATGCTTATTTGAGTTTCTGGTAATTAGTAGACTCTTGGTCGTAAATTTTGATTAGGATCCTTTATTTAAGTTAATTCAAGATCTTCTTCATACAAAAATCCATAATTATATAAATGTGGAAAAATTATACTTATATTACTAATATTTCTTTATTTTGTCTTTAAAAACTAATTAGTTTTTTGTTAATCACATTTCTCAACCTATTCTAATCAACTTTTTACTTTAGATCTTTGTGCATTTTTTATTAACAATACTTATTAAATTTTATTAACATCATCTGTCTATTTAACAAAATATTGAATAGATAATGTTGATATATTCATACAAAGGTTCAAGATCTTTGTATAAATTTAATATTTTCAATTATTTCCTTAAATCTTAAATTTATTAATTTAATAAAGTTTTTGAATCGAAATCAAGTAGGGACCTTCATGTTTAATTACAGTCTCAGAATTTGATAAAATTAAAGGTTTAATAATTATTAATTATAAAATTTAATTTAGCGGATTTTAATTTAAATATTTTACCTTTTTGAGCACAGACAATCATTTATTTATATTAGTTCTTCCTTTTAATAATGTATTTTTTATTTTTAAACTTTTAGACATCAAATTTTTTACCATCAGAAAATTACTTTTTGGAAACTTTGACAAGTTTGTAAATACTATTATTTATTATTCTTTGAATTGATAAACATATGTAATGCAATCTTTGAATAAAACTGCATTTTATGCTATAAAGTAGCCTACTAATTTAATTTAGTTTTTTACAATCTAAAAATATGTAAAAGATGTAAAAGACGCTGGTTCTTAGAAATAATTTTTTTTCTAGACGAATCAGATGTTATAAAAGTAAAATACAATGAAAAATATATAAAAGAAAAAGAAAGTTCTTTTTATCTTTAAAGAAGTTTTCAAAGAATAACTCATATATCAATCATGTATAATAACTTTGCCTTATAATCCAATCACTTTTTCAATATTTTCTTTGCTAATTCTCTCTTAAATAACAAAAGAGATTCTTCAGTCATTTTTTTATGATATATGTGTATTTTCTTTATCTTGATCTCCTACTTTTATAGAATCTCTGTTTCTAAGTTTGACTTATCTTAGTCTTTCATCAATTTTATTAATTCGAGAATCAAATTCCTATTATAAATTTCCAAATCTTTCTAGAACATTAAATGGAAAATCGCGCGAATTCTTAAATAAATATAATTAAAAATAACAGTATTATTGTAAACCCTATTTATATTATTTTTGAAAGTTTTTGGCATAAAATAATTAAGGTTAACTAACAATTTGTAATTTTCTTATTCAGTAGTTATTAATTCTTGATTAAAACAAAACCAACAATCATATTATTTTAAATAAAATGTTTTAAATGATGTGCACCTCCATAAAATAAATATTTCTAAAATAACTCAATATAAAAATAAAATTATTCTTATATTAAAAACAATTATATTTTTTAGGTTAAAGAAAGGATAATTCTATTCTCCAATATTGTTCTTGATAATATTAAAGATCTGAATAAATGCTTAAAGTTTTTTTTCAAGGCAAGAAGTACTGTAAGCGGATTTTTAATTTATGCGAAAAAGATAACTATTTTTTATTATTGTGATGTAATTGATGCTTAGATCTTTTGTGAACATAATTCTATAATTTTAAATAATGCTTAAAATCATTCATTTTCATTGATAAATTTATTATCGGATCTCATACCTAAACTGTATTGGTAGATAGTATGTATTATTAAATTGAAGACATTATTTTCATTTTAAATTTCATTTGAATATTTTATAATAAACTAATAAAAAATTTTGAGATGCTTAAATATTTAAGAAATATAATTTTTGTTTTCATAAATCTGATTTAATACTAGAATGTGTCCTCAACTTTTTCTAATTTATATGTAGTATTATATTTATTAAAAACCTAGTATTACTGATCATAAGCATAATGAGAAAAATAAACATTATGAAGTCTTGTTTTTTATTTTATACATATAAATAATTTATCTTAATGCGTAAGGTAGATTTAAATACTTATCTTTATATTAATGAATAAATTAGGAAAATCAAAGGTTTTTCATCAATTTTTTGATTTTTTAATTATTTTCTTGGCTAAGTTGTGCTTGAATCTCAAAAGATTTTAAAAGCATTCTAAATCAATTTTATAAGGCAACAATTTAAAATTGGATCGTTATTGAAATGGGTGTTGTTTAGTAATCAATACGGTTTTTGGTTCTTCACTTTAACTTTGAATCAGGGAATTTTATTTTGTTTAAAGTTTATCATTATCAGTCTCTTATTCTTTTTACATTTTTGTTGAGATTAATTGGCAAAAAGGATGAGCTTAAGGAATATTTTAATAAAAATAATGCATCATAATTTATATATTTGTTCATTTATTTAGTAAAAATAGAAAATATAAAATTTGATATTATTAAAAGCTTTGTAATCCTTTATCCTAAATTTCTATTAAAAAAATGCTTATTAGAAGAGTATTTAAAAGTTGAAACATTTTTATCTCTTCTTTTTTAGAAAATAGGAGAATAATTTCACAAATAAACGTATTTAATGTATTGTTAAAGCGCTAAATTCAAATTTATGAAAATAATCATTTAAATGCTAGTAAGTTGTTGCCAATATAATAAATTTAAAATATACATAAACAAAATTCAAATCATTTGTTCACTCCACCATAATTAAGGTTCAATCCCACTATTATTTATTATTTATATTAGAAAGTATTTTCTAAGCGAGTAATTTTTTATAATATCTAAACTCTTAGACATCTGAGAATGATATTAACTATGTTGCTACTTTTCTTTTAAAAATTCTTTTGTGATTCAAATAATGTATTATTGTTTATGTTTCTTCACTATGGTCTTTCATTTATTAAAAAAAAAATATTTTTTTTATTAACCAAACCCAATTTCAAATGACTTTAATATAAAGCAAAGAAATTTGAATTTTATAAATGGGGGGTACTTCAATTTTGATATTCTCAATTATATTACAAATGATATTGAATTTTAATAAGTATTATCATTTTCCTAAAATAGAAAGTGATTAGACAAAACCATATTTGATATTATACTTAAGAATATCTCTGTTCAGGTTTATATTGGATTCTATTTCTTAGAGATTCAGGAGAATTCCAATTAAAAATTTTTTTAATTTTATACAATTAATTATCATATTATGAGGGTGTAATCAGACAATATTCTTTATAAATAACTTCATTTTCAAATCTTACCTTTTTACATTTAATAAAACAATAGAGATTTCAAATTTTGAATTAAAAGCTTATCAATATGAATTTATAGAAAAATAATATTTGATATTAACTTTTTAATATAGAAAATTTTACAGTTTTATTATTAAATAATAAGTTTTTATATGTTATTCAAATGGTAGGTTTTTCATTTTAATTATAATATAGTGAATTTTGATAGATTAATCTTATAGTTATGTAGAAATATTTTTAGGAATTAAATAACAATAAATTTTGTTATTTTCTATTCAATATCTTTAAGTAATTTTCTTAAAATGAAAAATTTAATCAACAAAAATTACATAAATATAAATTATATTATTCTCTATTTTTATTGAAGCTTAAACTACTTTTTATGAATTTTTTTAATATGTTTGAATTATAATTGTTTATCATCTTGAAAAAATACACTAAAAATTATTTTATTTATTTTCATCTTCACATCTGAAAAGATAATGTTATCTATCCAAAATAATTAAGAAATTTAAGAGGTAATAAAGATAAATTTTAGAATTAAAAATATATTAGCAAATCCATATAATTCTTTATGAATTCTATCATTTTCTCATTTTGATACTATTCTTTTACACGATTCTTAAATTGAAGTTTTCATAAATAAATATCATTTGGAACAATTTTAAAATATCGAAATTTCGATTAAATAATAAGTTAATAAGGTTACAAATTATTATTATTCTTTATCGTAGTATTTACGAAGTGAGTTCCAAAAGATAGTATCAGTTTACAAAAGAAACGAGATATAGAAGGAACTAATTACAAAACATATATATAATGGTATTTATCATTAGGTTGTTGGCTCTTATCCTTTAACTAATTTAAAGAGTCTTGAAACTTCACCCACTTTAGAGAACTCAATACAAAAGGCTTATAACTAAATTAAATAATTTGTTACGTTGGTTAAGACATCTTTAGTGGCAAATGCTTTTTATTTGAGCATTTGTTAAATAAAGATTGATACATATCTAACGAGTTTATTCTACTATTATTTTTCCTAAATATATTGATTGATATACTTTAATATTGTTGCAAAACTCAATGCAATAATTGATATACTATGTTATAAATTCTTAAGGTAATTTCAGTTCTCCAAATAGTTATGCAAATAATTCTAAGGAATTTTGAGTGACATCACTTTGAATAAAAACATCCAAGAATCTAGGATATTATTAAGTATTTAATTACTCTTCGAATCCATCTAAGTGACATATTGATATCAATAAAAAATGAGCTATATCTTTATTTTTTTCTATAATTAATGGTAGCTTTTGACAAGTGAATCCACAATTTTTAAGCATGTCTTTTTCATTTTATAGATAATCGATTAAAATCTATGATTAATGGTGTGTAATAGCACCTTTTATTCTTCATCACGTATTTCCGTAGTACATGTATTTTGTATGATTTCTTTAACTTGGCTAACTTTATCTTAATTGACTTCAAGAGAATAGTTCCATTATACATTAATCATGGCCATATTATCATTCCATTAAAATTCTGAGTTGAGAATGTTAGGAATAGGTCTCAAATAATCAGTTTGGAATGATGTTAAATCAAAATATGGCTATGCTATTTTATCCATTCAAGTATATGAATTAATTAAAAATAATCATGTTGGAATAAATGATTGCTGAACAGTTAGATTAGAAAATGCATTAACACTAGCATTTAGAATTGGAACAAAATTCCAACCATCCAGATTAATTACTTATTAGAATCGAGATTCTTAAATATTTATAGGTATTTAGCAAAGAACTGGATTGGACAAACTAATTAAAAATTGATCCTAAATTTTGTTAATTATATTCATTACTAAGATAGCTTCTACTTGTATGAAATATTAATTCAAAATTGTTTCATTTCTTATAGAGGCTTTCAAGTTTTTGGGTATTTCAAATTTTACAATTTAATTCTCTTATCTTTATCCTTAATTTATCCCTTATAGGATTTGATGATAAACAGCTTAATTCTATATTACCCTTTCATTTAAATCATCATCAATAAAAACTAATTTATTGAATACTCTTATTTCTAACCTAGTTACAGGTTTTAGTGAAAATGAATTGTCGAGTTGATATTCAATTATAGCTTGTTCTCCTGGTGTAAAATTAGACTTATTCAATTTAATAGACAAATAAACTATTCCTCCACTTAAACAAAAAAATTATGATATATTTGCATCACTTTATCTTTAAATTTGATCGCTGTATTATACTCTTGCATTTATATATACTTCTGCACTTTCTTTTAGAATTGTGAGACCTTCATCTGGCTATTCTATTTAAAGTGTAATTTTATAGCTGCATTTTCCAGATTTCAATCCTTTATTTTATATTTTATTTATACCATCTTGACTTGTATATAAGAAACTAGATGACATATCACCCAATGTTGGAAATGAAAAGAAGAATTTATAATCACCTGGATTAACTTATCCTTTAAACAAATCTTAAGAGCTAATAAGCATTCTTTTTTCCCCATATTACTTTATGATTTTATACATAACATTTCCATTAAGTTCATATTTCTTTTATTTCTAAGGTTTTTTTGGTGTATCTATCGATATTTAAACTCTTTCGATCTTCTCTATTTCCTTTTCTGGTATCAAACTTTGATTATTGTTGAAAATCTCAATTTGTCATTAATTTAGTTTACCTTTTATTTCTCAATGATTTTAGAATATTGTTTAGCACTAAATGATAAGGTAATCAAACATTTTGGAATCTCTTAAGTAATTCTTACACAACATTATCCATTTATTGGATCACCAGCCAATGTTACAGGAGATTTAAAAATAAAGAGAACATTCTTATTCATTAAATAAATAAAGATAACATTTATTTTAATCATGATTCTACAATCTCATCTAATTCTTAATCATAGTATACTAAAATAAATTGAGAAACCATTTAATAGATTTCTATAATTTATCAAGTTTGTTGCCACATTTTTGATTGAAAATTTATAATAAATATCTAATTAGTAATCTGTGGAAACAAAATGTTTCATCATCTAATAGACAGCTAAATCTATAAAAAATATAAAATACTTTCAATAGCAAGCTAAATAATATTTGTATCTGTATCAACAAGACCTAGAATTAAATAATCTATCATTTCATTGTCTATCATATTTAATATCTGTTGTTATGTACAAACAACCAAAAAATTACAAAAAGCTTAAAAAAATTCTCTTCTTACATCTGCAACATCTGTTTCTAATAAATCTAATACTTATTCAAGTAATTTTAAGTCGGAAAGCACCTTATTCATTATCCAGAATCAAATAGGATGATGCCATAAGATTTTAAAAATCATGCTTCCAAATATTTAACTGTAAGTAAAAATAAATTTTTTCAGTAATTTATAAATCACATATGTTAATAATAATTTAAGTAATAATTACAATAAGAATTTCTTGTTTCAATTAATTTTGCTTGTAATGGTTTTATTGCATTAGAGTAATGATTAACCATATCAAATCTAAGTTAAGATTCCAAATTTATCTTTTTAAATTCTAGATAAAAAATCTCTCTCATTTCTTTCAATCGATTCGAATTCATTTTGGAGGAAATATTATAAATTCTAATTTAGAAATTCTAAGACTATTAATAAAAATAAATATTGAAAAGAACTAAAATTCAATTTTTTTATTTATTAATTATAAATTTCTTATAATGAAGAAATAAAGATCAAGAAAGAGTTTTTCATTAAATGATTCAATAGATGAAGATCGTCGGAAAGAAGAAATTATTCAAAAGCTAATTGAAAGTAGTACAAACCTATAACCAAAAAAATTACCAACCATAAAATTCGATTTGGAAGAAAATGATATTCCAGCAGCTGAACCATAAATAGAAACTCCATAATAAAAAAAATAAATATATATTGAATATTTGACTCCATCTGTTGTAAAAAATAATTTAGATATGGTCAAAGAAAACCTTCACATAGTTATTGAAGAAAGAATGGAAGATTCAAAATTGCTTAATTGGGCTTTGCTAATTATTGAATTCATAAAAGTTATAGCATTTTTTAATGTTCTTTTGCAAGAGACATGTTCTAGCGAATTTATTATGTGGTTTGTTTTGATGTTTATACATGATGTATATTAAATTTCTTTTATGAGATCATAGAAATTGGAATAACTTTTAAAGTTGTTAATGTAGTTACAACTAAATATGAGAGCAAATTATCAAAGAAAAGACCTACTTTAATTAAAAGAGAGTCAAAATATCCAATGGCTGGAAGACATTCTTATTATGGATAATTGATTAAAGAAATTGAGAAATGGGAAAATTAAGTAGCTATTTAGAATGATCCTCAGCCTACAAGAGTCATTTAATTTGCAAAAGTACATCAATACAATGAATTGTATAAAATAAATTTTATTATTTAGATTCTATCTATTCTTGATTTTTTGGGGACTTTTGCTCTTAGGAATTGAATGTTAATCTGATATTATATTATCAACATTTCATGGATTCATTTTATTAGGAATAATTACTTTTTCATTCAGACTAATATATTTTTTATCTTTTAGATTCTGTATTAGTGCTGTTGTTATGAATTATTTATTAGTTGCAGATAAAAATTAGTCAAGTTAAGTAATTAATTATTGTAAATTAAGGAAATTATAGCAAATATACCTAAACAAATGAAAAAGAATTATGATTTTGAAATTTGTTATCTCTGCTCTTAATAAATTAAATAAATGACTTCTTTCATTGATTTGCCTTGTAATAAAATGTATATAATCCTTAATATTTTAGGCATCGTTTTCATGAAAAATGTATTACAAAATGGTTACAGACACATCTTTTTTGCCCAGTTTGTGTTGAACCTATAGAGTTGATGAATGTTTAAATGAGAGTACTATCTTGATTTATCACTTATTCAAAATAATTTTTACTCTAAATTGATAATTGATTAACTATATATAATTTATTGTTATTTCATTTTTGTATCAAGCAATGGCTCCCATTAATTGATACATAGCTTATTCTAATTAATTCATTAATTTCTACATTTTCTAATCAGCATAATTTTCTAAAAAAATTATAAATTAATACCTGGATTTTGCATCATTTTTATTAAATCTTCCTCTTCTATTTAAAATTTTTCAAAACAATAATCAGCTAATATTGTATTAACTGCTAATGGAATTAATTATTAAGTCTCTTAATTATTCTAAATAATTATTTAAAATCAGTATTACAGATAAAGTTTATATCATTGATGCTAAATCTATTGGTTTATTTGTTATAATTTGTACTTGATAATCTAATATCTATTTCAATTATTCCAACGATAATATTTTTGTACTAGGTATTGCTTCCTTTATTTTTTATTTTATTGTTGCTTAAATTATAAAGAATTGTTGAAAATATCCTTAATCCATTAAGAACATAACACTTTCCTGAAATACTTCCTCAGATATTGATAATGAGGTAAATAATTTTATTTTTTTTTATTCAAGTAAATTTTCTACCTATTCATTATATTATAACACTAATTGTTGATATAATTAACTATTTGATTATGTTCTTGCATCTCTTCTTTCTAAATTGATATAGAGATAAATTACATTTTCTATTTCCAAGGGTAATTTATATATATTCCTTTTTACATAGATCTATACTTTTTTCAAGTATTTATCCAATTGTATCAAAAGATAATTTGTCTCCTGTATATTCAACCTATATTTATTCTTTAATCTATTAAAGTTATATATCATGGTTTGATGAAATTTCAGTTTGTTAAATGTCTTCTTAACCTTTATCATTTGAATCCAATTTTTATTATTAATTCTTCAATTCTATTTTCAATCTTTTTGTTAGTAATTTATATACTTGTCATCGATATACAATCCTCCAATTAAGAATACTGTTCCAATTCCAAAAAGAATCAACCCTTATTTTTGCTTTTTAGATAATGTAGAACCCATAATTAAAAAATATAAAAACTAAATTTGCTTTATTAATTTAAATTAAACTCCATATAATCTTGATTATATAGAAGTTCCTAAACTTAAGACAAAATTTATTTACATTTACTGAATAATTCTCTAGAAAAAGAAGAAATATTTCTATTAATTAGTATAAATAATAATTTAATTAAAATAATTAATGGCTCAAGTAATTTAACTCAAAGTATAAAGGTTCAATCAAATCTATCATATACCTCAATAATAATCTGTAAGTACAATCTATTAAAATTGGTAAGCACTCCTTGTCCAACCATTAGATACTTAAGTCCCAATAGAATCAATAGAAGAACAATTATCTATTTTTAAATCAAAATAATCAGATTCTCTTAATGACATAAGAAAAATTTATTTCTTAATATCTATTCGTTTGACCAATCATAATCATATTGATTGATTGTTCAAAGGTTCGATAATAGTTTGATACAAATGTTGATAACTATTTACTTTGATATTTTTTTGAATCAATAAATGCTCTAATTAATCAATAAATGATTAATGGGTGAATCCAAATCAAGAGGTTATAATAGACGAAAGAAAACCTAAAGTTGAGTAAATTTAAAATGAATTATAATAGAGAAGGATTAAATAAATAAAATGAAATTTATTAATAATTATTAATATAAAATATAAATGCAATAATAAAGTTATGCATATGAGAGTAAATTTTAAAAATTTTATCTAATAAGAATAATCTAATTATTCCAAGAAAAAACCTTAAAAATGGGATTCAGGGAAATCAAATTATATGCAAATAAATAAACAAATGAAAAAGAAATTGAAATTTTAAAAGGGTCTTAATAAGTATTTGATGGAGAAACATATATTTCGACTAAAGAATATTCTAAAATATTTGAAACATTACCAAAAATAAAGATAATTATTGATTTGTCTGAACATTTAAAAAAAAAACTTGAATCAAATTCAAGATTAAAATTAGGTTCAGTGAAGGACACATAATCTTTTATCTAACAAAATGAGCATAAGCAATAGTAAGAAATAATAACTTAAAGAGCTATAAATAAATTTCTATCAATGAAATCGATAAGGTGTATAGGATAAAACTAAATTAATAAACCACCTTAGGTTAAATAAAAAACCCTAAAAAAAATTAATCAACAGTTTACTATTAAATTGTTATTAGTTTTATTTATTATATCATCCATTTATATCATGTTCAATTGTTATTTCGAATGATAATAGGATTGAATTTTATTTTTATATTAAATTAAAATTAGATTAATAGTCAAAACATTAAATCTTTCAAACTAAGTTGTACTTGCATTGTTTATTTCGATAAGGATTTTGGATTTTCTTTATCAGTAAAATCTAAAATAATATAACTTGGGGCAGGATTTTAACAAATAAATTTCTTTTTATTTGAGGAAATATTAGTCTCTAAAATAATATACTTCAAATTATTTTATGAATCTTAATGATTTTGCTTTTTTTAGGGTGTTTTAGAAGTTGATTTGTATTGTACTTTTTAGCTTGAAGCTGTTAATTCTTTTTAAGGTTTAGCATAATTAATTTAACGACTTTTTTAAGGGGATATTTATTCTTAATTTAAATACAAAAAATTAGGTTTTTATTTTGGATCTGTTTAAATCTAAAAAAATTATGAAGATTCTTATTAAAACAATTATTAAGGTTAATTATCAATATGATATTATTCAGAGCCTTTATTAGTGTTTTTTTTATAAGAATATTCTATATTTTATTATTGATCTTGTTACTGTTATTTGTATTGAAAACTTAATTTCTCCTATTTAAATGAACAATCTAATGGAGGAAATTCATGATCAAATTGGGAATTAGATTGTTATTTATCAGGAGAAGTAATCTCAAAATTAGGTAGATCATTTATATCAATCTAGTTGGAAGAGTAATTTTCTATTGAGTTTTTTTAATACCATGTTTCTCTTACAGGTTAAGAGAATTATTTGAAATGGTTTTAAATTGACTATTCTGAATTTGTTAAAGAAGGCAATTTATAATTATCATGATTATTCATTTTTTTTAATACTCTTAAATTATTCACAGTTTAAAGTAGAAAAAATAAGTGGATCAAGGTGCAAATAGTCTTATAATGGATTTTGATTAGCGTTTACTTTCACTTATTTAAGTGAGTTTACAGCCTAATTCTGATGAATAAATTTTTACTTTAGCTAAATCCCCTAATTTTGTAATTTCATTTGAAAACAAATCCAACTTCAATTCTTCTAATTATCTTTATTTACTTAATAATTTGATAATACCAAACTCAATACCAACATCATTAATATTGCATCTACCACAACCTAAATGCAAAATTTTCAATTGTTAAGAAAACAAATTTCTGCATAATTAAATTAAACCTTAAATTATGTTAATTGTAAATAATACCTGTACTCCAAATAGTATTACGATATTAACTAAAACCATTAAAATTAAGAGACAAACGTTGTAACTTTAAATTATCAATTGTTTATCCTACAAATTTATAATATGTAAATTTTACCAACATAATAAATGCTATTTTCATCTAAACAATTGAGAGATAAATCCAAAGAAAAATCAATAATTGTATCTGGAATAAATAACTAATCAATCTTATTTAATTTATTCCCTTTTAAATCCAATGACAATTTTTAAAGATTAGGAATCATTATTTATTTAGTGATTCCTTCATTACATTTTTCAAATCGTATGTACAGTTCTTTTAATTGTTAATACTTGCTAAAACCAATCAAATCTATTGGTTTATCTATAATCAATTCTATTTTCTCTATTGAATCTGTTAAAGTAGTGAGTTATGGGTAATAATTATTTGACACTAAAGTTTTAGAAATGTTGAAATCATCAATATCAATGTTTTATGCTTCTTCGGGCGAAAATATAGAAATTTTGTAATTGGGATATTCCAATTACTTAGACAGTTTAATCTTCTCTTCAAATTAGTCTAAAATTTCATGGAAGTCATCCTATATCTGAGGAATATTTATAAATGGAGGTTATGTAGCTGTCTAACATAATTAACCATATAAGTAATCAATCTATTTTTACTTTGGATTTTTTGATTTTTAATTATTTAAATAATATCTTAATTAATCTTCAATTTGATCATCTAAAAGAAATGTTTAATTTTGACCACATTTTTAGTAGCGTATAATTTAATTTTTTATTTATTGAAGTATTTATTTTTATTCTTCAAATTGAAATTTTAACTTTTATACAAATGAATTAATCCTAGTTTTAAATGTCTCATTTAAAAATATTCTCAATTTTTCTACTGAATCTTCGAATTGCTTTTTATTAAACCCAAAATCAAGGATATCTTATGACAAATATTAACCCAATATAGGTTAAGCTTATAACAAAAATTCTTCCAATAATTTAGCTGTGTAATTTTTAGATAAAATGCATCTCTAACACAAAAGAACAGGTTCTTTGGCTAAAGGCTTGACATTAATGTATATAGCCACTTAGTTATGTTGTCTACACTTAAACACACTATTCATATTTTAAATTAATCTAAAATAAATAATACTATTTGAATGATCATATAAAAATATTTAATATAAATTTTATTGTAAATTTTCTCTAATCACTTCAATAATTCGCGGTTTCACTCAGAATTTAATATTATTGTAATTTTAATTATTGGAAAAAAAACTAACCTTGTCAGAACAAATATCTATTCATTTTATGAATACTTTATTATTTCTCTAAGTAAACTGAAATTTTTTTGTATCAGCATATTTTAATTGTGAAAATTAATTTCTTTTTTAAATTATGTTCTAGTAAATAAAATAATAATAAAGAATAAATTAACTAATTATATTTCTCTTTTATTTTTTAATCTAACATTTTTTATATGTAAATCTCCAATCGCTCAATAGAAGACTATAAAAATCATAACTACACTAACAAATTACTTTTGAAGGCTTCAAATATTCATATGAAGCAAAATGAAACAATATCACCAATAAGAAAAAAAAGTATGATGGATTCTAATGTACCATCAATTTATAACGAAACTGATAGAATAACTGATAGAATTAAGTTATAAATGAGAGAGAAGAATAGATCTTGTTGTAACATGCCCGATGAAGATAATTCAGATTCACCTTATTAGAAATATTCTTAATTTATCATAATGAATCAGAATGTTAAATAACTTATGATAGGTATTGAAAAGAAGCTAAAAAATTTTAAATTTGCCAAAGAAAATGATCACAATTCATGTGCATCAATAATTGCTAAAATGAAGTGTTTTTGCTTGGACAACTGTTGTTTCGATTTTTATCGTTGTACAGATCTTATCCTATTAAAATATCTGATTTATTTACTAATTTAAGAACTAAACTCAAATAAGATTACTGATAGTACAAGTTCTTTATTAGAACCTCCTCCTCCTTAATTAAAGAATTTAATTAAGGATGCAATTTCAATTATGCATGAGACAGTTGAAGAATTAAAGAATAAATAATTGATAGATAAAAATAGTAATAAATCTATTGATTAACTTAATAAATAGATTAAAAAGATGTAATAAGTTATGGTAGGATCAAACCAAAATTTTGATGTATTTACTACTCCTTAATCAAATATTAAAAAGGTTGATTTACTTTTAAAATAGTAAAGCGCAACTTAGAAAAGAGAGTTTAATTAAACATCTCCATCTTTAAATTCCGAGAAAATTATTCAATTTTAGATTGATGAATTATCAATGAAGAATGATTAAATTTTAAAACTAAATGGAAAAATAAAGGATTAAGAATAATAAATAAAAGCTTTAACATAATAGTTAAGTGAAACTAATTTGAGTTTACAAATTTCATAGAAATCGCTTTAAAATAAAGAATAGGAGGTAAAATTGTATTTGATAAATATGTTCTTAGATGAAAGATCTCATAAAGAAAACAGACAAGTTATTAGAAACTACAAGCCAAGCTGTTAAGGATAAAGATGCATACTAAAATACTTATAAATCAATAAAGCAAGATCATGATCAGTTAAAATCTTTGTTTGATGATTTGTATGAGATTGACTTATAATAATTTTAGGCAAAAAAGTAATCAGAGTATTATATAAGAGTATCATATTTTGAAATAATCACAAAATGATTCATAAAATTCATCAATGCAAAAATATAAATAAGATGAGGAAACGTTTAAATTAAATCGTGAAATGATAGATAAAAATAATGTGATAGTATAAAATTGAATTATTTTAGTAATAATTAAAAGAGGATGGAATATCGCTAGGTTTATAATTGAAAGAAATTTCAAATAAAATTATGCAAACTTCACCAGATTAGCTTCCAAAGTCATTGTAATAATTGTAAAGAGACTTATATTTGCAAGAAAGTAAAATAAATTAAAAACTAAATAATATTTAATATGTGTAGATAGAGTAAGATAAAAGTTAGTCTAATAATATGTAAAAAACATATCAAAAATAAATAATAAATTAGAGTCAACAACTTGAGCAGTTGAAATCGCTAAAAAATCATTCAGACATTATGACTATGATTTTAATTTAATGTGAAGTAATTGAGAAATTTATTAATTGAATCATTATTGTTATTATTATAATTCATAAATTTAAACATAAGCTTCACTTACACTAATTAATTAAGGAACAATATTTTATCTATGTAAATCTTGAATCTAAAACCATTGATTATTGGCTTCATTTTTGACATGAATTTTATAAATTCCAACTTTTGCAGTCCCTTCATGACAAATGTTAGCTATTAGATTATATTTAACATTTTATTACTCTAAATTTAAGCCTAAAATACTAGTGATTCTTACATTAACTTAAATCTAAATCGATTAATGGGAATGTAACAATAGTTGGGTTCTTTTCCATAAAAAAATTATTTTTGATAAATCTCTTCATATGAAGAATCAAGTATCTAATATATAAAAAGAGATTACTTTGGAAACTTGGTAATTGTGTATCTTCTGCGGCCATCAGCACTATCAGTGTTGGTAAAGCCATCATACTTTTTGATTAATTCTTAAATGGATATACTAGGAATAAGTGCTTTTTAAGTGCCATCTTTTTAGAGTGGAGTAGAAGGTAAATCTAGAGATAGGTAACTATGTAATTTAATGTAAGATATTATACAAGAAAGATTTTTACTCAATTATTGGAGTTGGTTAGTATCCGATAGCATTTTTTAAAGGTTTGTACCATTCATATTAGAGCTCACCCTGGAAACAATCAGAAATTATTGTATTTATTTTATTGATGTGCAATAATTCTTTTTTGAGGTTATCTAAAAACCAAATTATTAAATGCATTGGATCTGATTGTTATCCAATTTTGAATTATTTATTACTTTTAAGTGTGACAGCTTATAGTAACTCATGAGGACTTACATGACCTTTGTAATTTCTAGGATTCCAGATTTTTCTAGTTAATTCTGAAAATCTTTAAGATAAAAGACAATTATAATCGAAAGGCTCTGTGGCACTCTTTTAATATTAAAGGAATATCATAAAATTTCTTAATGGTTTGATACGACATAAAGCTTGCATAACAACATTGAAATAGTCTGATTTACTTAGATTATTCAAGCCTACAAATCCAGGCAGGAACGTAGTACCATCTAAGGCTCTGGATTCTTCACTATTATCATCCAATTCTTTAAGATTATTGAATTTAGGATCCAGATTATATTGGATATCTTCAAGTGAATGATCAACAACTTCATAATTATCAGGGAGACAATATATTTTAGTATTTTGAAGATTCATAAATAAGTGGTGATCTTATTCAAGTGAATGAATATAAGCTTAGGTATTAATAGATTTGCCTTAATAATATTTGCCGCAAATAAGACAAGCATAGACATTAAGATTTGAAAGAGTAACAGAGCATAATTTTTCAAAATCGAAATCAAGCATATGTCTACAAATTGTTGCTATATATGGACATTATTGATTGTATTTAACCTTTTTTTTGATTTCGTCTATCATTTAATAATTTAATTAATTTATTCATGAGTTCTGAGGAAGAGACCCAATAATCGTTGTAGTACAAGGTGCACAAGTCAACTTTGAAATGGGCCCCAGTGTTCAATATGACAATTTTAATGTCAATTGCAATAATCTCTTGCTTAATAAGAGTGTTTTCAGTGATCAGATACGAGTCGATCATTCATGAGTTTGATCCGTGGTTTAATTACAGGACAACTTAATATTTAGTTAAGGAAGGTCCTTATGCATTATGGAATTGGTATGATTCAGAATCATGGTATCCTCTTGGAAGAAGTGTTGGAGGCACAGTGTATGAAATGCTTAATATTAATCAGGTATCCAGGTTTAATGATGACATCTGGTTTGATATATTGGGTATTGCACAAGCTATCGATTCCAATAGATATTAGAAATGTATGTGTCTTTTTGGCTCCAATCTTTTCAGCATTTACAAGTCTAGCAGCATATGGAATGACAAAAGAAATAAC